TGTGTCTTCTTAGAAAATAAACCCCATTTTTGTCTGATTTCCTAAGGACGCAAAGCTTACTCAACAGTATTATCTATCCACCCACCCACTACCTACCATTCCCTCCCTAGAACATGCTACCCACTTTGGCAAAGGGATATTTAATTATATTTTTCTATTTGAAAGATAAGCTAGTAAGATGTCATGATTTGAGCTCAGAGGGCAACTGAGCACCGGACATAAGAAGAAGAGAGTTGAATTAATGCCTCCTTAGGGAGAAAACCTGCTGTTATTTGTTCTGTTTGATCTGGGGCATGTGCTTTGGCAGTGACACCCCAAAGCCCGTGCAGCCCCTGGCAGGCAACAGTGAGGGGACTTTGTGGTGACAGACCAGGTAGGTTACTCCCCTGACATGTATCTGGAAATAATGACAAAAATCTGTAGAAACCTCTAGAAGCTTTACAAAACCTGCCGCTCTCGAAGCAGCTTTTTTCAGTCACCCAAGACCGTTCCCATTGGCAGCACAGCCATTATTTGGAAATTTCCCTATCTCCTCACACAAGATGTCTTCTGCTGCAGGTCCCACAGATCGAGCCTACTCCTCATGGTCTGTGTGGAGGCTCCAGGACCGCCCGTGGGGTTTGGGTCTTGCACCAAACCCAGCTTGGTAAGCCGTTTCCTCTTTCTTCTTTTATCCAAGCAAACCCTTTGCCAGAGGTCAGTCGCTGACTCTTTGCAAGACATCCGTAATTCTTTTTGTTCTTGTACTAGTTCCTAGGACGAAAGCAAACTCTACCGACAACTCCCAGATTTAACTATTTATTTGCGTAGTGCGTTGGGCTTGATAGGGAATTTTCTCCACCTTGGCATGGACCGGCAGGCTGAGTTTCACTGTGGCCTTTGTTGGAAGGAGGCTTGCCCCACATCCCAGCACCTTGACGTTTACAGGGTTTGAGATGCTGCTGCTAGTGGTGACAGACATCTGCGGAGCTGCAAGGCCACCCAGAACGGCGGCAGCAGCAGGGAGGGCTGTGGCCGGATCAGGGGTGTCTGCATCCGCAGCAGATTGCTTTGAAAGAAAAGGAGGTGGGAGAAGGAGCAACAAAGCCAGCGGGGGAGGGTGGGCACCTGAGGGAGGCAGAAGTGGGACTGGGGCTCTGCGTTGGCTAAAGACCCTGCCTGGGGCCTGAAACACGGGTGTGCGACCCTTTAGGTACTTTCGATGGTAGCAACGTGGGGCACAGACACACGCAGGCTTGATGAGGCCTTGCACGGAGGATAAGTGCAAGCCTGAAGGGGCTGCCCCTTCCCTGGGCAGGGTGCTGCATGTATACGTGTGCCTATGTATGTCTACGTGTGCGCCCATCTCCCTGTGCAGAGGAGCAGTGCCAGGATCCCCCAAGCGAGCGGGGCAGTTCGGTGGAAGGAACCGCCTGCACCTCCCGCCTGAGGCAAAAGGATTTCTAAAACCTAATTCCCCCAAATGAGTGCCAAAAAGCTAATGAGCTTTGCTTCCCCACCTCCCCGCCAAGACGTCTCCCCCTTCTTGAGGTGCTCACGTGGCAGCTGGGCTCACCGCAGCTCTGCTCCTCTGCACGTGGCCTTCCCTTGTGAGGTGCCATTTGCCGGAAAACTGGGTGCTAGTCAGGGAGAAAATGTGAAGAAGGCTCTTGGGATCATCAGAAGTTGTGCTGCCCTGGGTAGGAAGGACACCTAGAGCTGCCTTTGTGCATCTCCCTGCTCTGGAAACGCTCTGGGAGCCTGGGCAGAGCTGGCTTTCGGAGCTCTCTGAACAAGCCTTGGCAGGAAGCAGAGCCCAAGAGGTGCCAAGAGCAGCAATAAACCTAGGCGTTTAAAGCAGGATGGGGAAATCCAAGGACAGCAATTGCTGGGCCTCTGCCAGGGTCCTTGGGAGACTGTTGGGTGGGACAGCAAGGAAGACAGACGCTCCTCCGGCCACTTCCTTCTCAAAACAGAGAGGCTGGTTGTAAGGGCCTCAGCTGTCCCTTGGCCATCCCTTCCCAGGCTCACTCACATCTCCTGGGATCCTGCAGCACCATGGCCCAAGAGGTCGGAGCCCGATGGATGGATACGGGAGTCAGCTGAGCCCGGGGAAGGCACGTGGGCTGAAAGATGACAACCCGTCCTGAGGAGCCTGGGCCGTTTGGCTCCCACTGATCCCCAAAAGCCAAGATCCGAATGGTCTCGGAGAGGAGAAGATCCAGCCTGCTGAGAGCTTCTTCTGAGACACTGCTTCTGCATCGAATCCCCACCGCAGCTCCCAGGGGCAACATCCAGCCGTCTCGCAGTTATCCTCAAGCCTTTTGGCTGAGGAAAACTGGAGCCATCTCCTCCCGTGGAAGCAGGACCTTCCTTTTCTGCCTCTGAGCTTTGCTGGGGTACAGACGAGGGAGCATGCCTTGGTATTCAATTCATAGAAACTATGCAGCTCTTCGTCCTTCCCGGCCGTCTGCCTGCAGGGCCCCAGCACTGCCGAAAACCCACAGCTAAGGCCAACAGAGGAAATCCACAGAGAACAAGGGAAATACAGCAAAGAGCGCCTCCAGCGCCGAGTATTTTTCCGGTTCCAAGCAAGCCAAATCTGGCATCTGGGTTTAGAGATTTCCATCCCAGGCCTGGGTAAATGTAATTTTGGGGAGGATTAATCCAGATGGTAACAAATAACTCTATTTCCTGGGACTCTCTGCTATGTCTGTGCCTCTCAAGGCTCTCAGGGAAAAGTAGGAGTTTTCTGGGACGCTGCCATCCATAAATTAAACTGCAGAGAGGAGCACCCCTGAAAGGGGCAATCTTGGGAGCTGCTGGGGCCAGGCCCGTTGCAGTGGGGAAGGAGTCAACTGGAGCTGTCATCTCCTCATCTGATCCCTGACCTCCTCCTTGCTGCATCTGCTTTCAGGAAACACCACCCCTGCCCTGGGGACGCCGGGACCTGCTGCTCCTTCCTGGAGAGGGAACAGTAGAGAAGCGGGAGACGACAATCCAGCTGCAGAGGGAAAGAGGTTATTGGGAATGGATGGACCCCGTCCCCTCCCATCCTGGGGAAAAAGGGGCAAGGTTGGATGAGACGCGACGCAGAGCTCCCGAGCAGTGCCCACAGCTTTGCAGGAAGCCCCAGGAGCTCTCTGTCCATGGCACCTCTGTCCAGAGCCACCCCACAGGCACCGAACCACGTCTGCTCAGCACCTTCCTCTGCCCCCCACCGAACGGCTGGCTGCTGCAGCTGGTGCTCCTGCAGCCCCTGCTCCTCCACTTCCCTCCCACAGGTCACTCCCATCCAGCCCTCCTCTGCTACTTAGCGCCTCGCTTTCTGCCCAATGTTTCCCCACCCCCTGCAAGTACCCTACAGTGTTCCCTCCTGCCTGCCCTCCACCCCAGCCAGTGACCAGCACACCTCCCCAGCTTGCAGCTCCTGCAGGGCAGGAACTCTCTGCTGCTCTCCGTGCACAGGACACGACGCAACACAGCCCCGTTCTTGGTTGCAATGGCTGCGGCAAACACAATTAAGAGTGATGACAGCTTTGCATCACCTGCTGTCACTGCCCAGAACTGTTTCCCTACCGTGTGGGCAGGCAGACTCAGACACTGAATTTCTTAGGAATCCCATCTGCAGCTTACATCCTCTGCAAGAAGACAAACTCCCTCTGCCAGGCTGCTGTGTGATGGCATTAGAACTCTTTAGTACGAAGCCTTCCTCCCACATCTCAGGGGTCTCTACCCCTCCTCCTCTCAATCCTCCACTGGACCTGGAGCCTTCTTGGTTGACTTGGGCCTCGGCCCGCTCACCTTAAAGTCTGCTGAAGTTCCTAGGAGGACATGAATACTGAAGTCACCACTCCTTTCCCTGCCTCTCCAAAACACAAGTTTATTTTCTTCAATGAAAGGAGAGCGAAGAGAGGTTTACAGCTGGAGGCTCAAACCTGCAAGGAAAACACTGTAATTTTTCTCCTCGTGCTTTGTCTGCCTCTCAGTTTGTCAGTTCTGGTCCCCATTGTGCTGAAAAAGCTACACTCACTCTTGCCAGCATGGCCTCAAAAATCTGTGGAGGGTAAAACGAATGTCTCACATTGTATCTACTCAATAGATGCACCTTAGAACTGCACTGGTCTCCTCATTCCCTCCGCGCTACCAACTTGTATTCAGGCCTCTCCTCCTATGACCAGGACATGAGTCCTTGCGTCTGTATCCAGGCCCATCGGGGAGATGTGTCACAAACCTCATCTCCTCAGGTCTCACTGGAGGAGACCTTCTGGTCACTCTACCAGTTCACAGAGCGGGAGCAGGGTGTCTCCACGGGACTTCCTTCCCTTTGCCGCGTCTCCAGTTTTGGCTTTATCAAGAATCCCAGTTTAATTTCTATCACGATGGATTTGAAAAATAAAGAAAACGGTTTTATTAATAAATGTTTTCACAGTGACCTCTTCCCTCAGGTGTGATCTTCACCACACAGCGTCCTCTGCAGGGGGAAACCTGCACAGATGCTTCTCGTGGCCCAAGCTGCATGCGGCTGGGTGCGTGGGGCTGAGGGCATTTTCCCTGGCAGCGGGCACGCTGGCAGGCTAAAGAACTGGCTGACCCAGTTGAACAGAGCAGCCTACACAGCAGAGCAACTTCTAGGTGAAGGTGATTATGAGACCTGATTACTGGAAGTTTCAAAACACAGGTTACCCAAACACCTGAAACTATGTGTTAATGCAGAGCACATGGATTCTTGGTGTTTGGGGGAAAGAAAAAAAAAAAAAAAAAAAATCAATCTTAAATACACCTAAAGTTCACCAGAACTGTGTGTCTGATGAAGAGCTGCAGAATCTGTTAATACACACACAGGCAATCTTCCACTCAGCAAGAAGAGCAGTAGATCATACTTGAAGATGGGAGAAAGCAAAAGCGATCCAATGCTTGAAGTGCTCCCTTTGCTCCCCTCCTTACAGCAGGGAAACCTGAAACCAAGATAAAAAGTCTTTGCGGGTTATTTGAAAAATGCAAACACACACTGGATCAGGAGAGGGTTTAAAGTGCACACTTTTATTTTCTATTACAAAGGCTAAAAGAAGCAAGTTTGTTGTTTGTTTTTTTTTTTTATTTAAGAACAAAAACAAAAATGTTGTTAAAACATCTACATTATTATCCTGATACTAGACCTTATGAAAGATACTAAGTTCTTTTTTAATAGTAAAGCGTGGTATTCTTAAATTATATTAATACAAAGACATATTAAAGGACTCGAAATCATTACTACCCAGCTCAGAACTGCAGCATCCCCTTGCTATCTTTTCCTTTCACTTGCTGAAGCCCAGCCATTTGTGACATACAGTTTCATACAAGCTAAGTAGGGTATTTTTTGTTTTTCCACTTCCCCCTGGAAAGGTCAGGTTAACTCCAACCCCAGCAGCACTTAAATCCCTGCCCCTACCAAAGGATTTGGTAAAAGATTTTCACTAAGTCCTTCAGCATTTAACAAGCTGATCTAAATCAAAGTCCCTGCTCTGTGTGAGTGTGTGTGGTGATTTTACAGGATATGAGATTCTGTTCTAATGTTATAAAATTAAAATATCACTTCTTTTGTTAATAACCTTCAGATTTGGTTCTGTGCTGCAAAATTTTCTTTTTTCCCTCACGTGACTGATGAGAGAGTTATCACCAAATCTTGTGAATGCACCACTAAAGCAGCCCTACAGCTTGTGGTTGATCTGTTGTAGAGCCGTGAGCGCCGAGCCGGTCTGCTGAGAGTACATAACATGATGAAGACAACCCTCTTGGCTTGACAAAGCCAGCCTGGGAAGTCAAGTGTGAAGCTTCCTGCCTTTCACAATGTCCCTTTAAATAATATAAGCAAAGCCTTATCATTAGAACTTTACTCGCTAGTTAGCAGTATAATTCTCTTTCAGTGAGACGGGACTGCGCGGACATCCTAGGGGGTTTCAAAACTGTGAACAGGGGAACCTGTCCCATCTCAAAATGTATACCTATCTATATAAAACCCTCCCCTCTTTGATATTTCCCTTTCCCTAACCCAAATACAAGTCTTCATATTTAAACTGGAGATGCTGCGTTTCCTGGCCCGAGTCCTTTTCCTTTACCCTCATTTAAAAGATTCCTTCGATACCACACACATATAATATTATATAGAGCGATATATTTAATACCTGTGTATATATGCTTCACGGGAGGGGTCACATATATACACACTAAAACAAGTCTGGTGACAAAGGACTGCAACACCACAGACCAGGTTATCATATCGGGGAAAACAAGAAGAGGTTCTTGACGCAGCCCCTGGGACTGCGGGCCTCCCTCGCCTCGCGCACGCTCGCCCCCTCCCCGCCTCGGCCCCAGCCCAAACCTCCGAAGCCCCGCCAGGCAGCTCGGATCTCATTGCAGAGATGGGGAGAGGGGACAGCGACCCACTCTGTAACCTCAACGAGTTATCGGATGAGAAATCACGGTGCAGCGAACGCTAGAGTCACACTAGAGATGCAGATTTGTTTTAAAAATAAAAACGCATTCCAACGTTCCCTCTTCCAGATTCGCTTCCTCGGCGCCTCCGCCCGAGAAGAGCAGAACGAGGTGACGCGGGAGCTGATGCCTGCCCCCTCCCCTGACTGACTCTCTGTTTATAAAATGGACCAGTCAAGCACAAGGAGCACCAGGAGAAGGTACGATCCAGACAGCTACGGCGAAGGGCAGAGGAGAAAATGCAGCACCCGACCACTCAAAACGAGCCATGCGTCGGTCACTCTCTCACCCCACAGCACTACGGATCCTTCTCCAGCCCCACACGTGGGCAGAGATGGAAATAACCACTCCCCCCCGCTCTTCTCCCACTAAACCACCTCCGTATCATCAGATGTTAAGGTCCTGGCCCGTAACCAACCCCAGCGGAGCTGATGCACCTGCCTGGAGGCTGGTTTAGTAAGGTGCCAGCTGTCCCCACAGCATCTCCTGCGTTTCCACATCTCCTGTATTTCCACATCCCATCGCTCTTGAAGCAGGGAACCCCAATGATGTGGGAGGAGGGTGGGAAAAGGGGGACCCAGCAATGCCAAAGCGCCGAGCGGTTCACGGCTAGGCTGTATTTATTTACCACGGATACAGCCCTGCCAGCGCCAAGAGCTCTGAGCTTGCTGTCCTGGGAGACTCTGGATGAAACAGGCATCCCCCTACAAGGGCTGGGAGGGAGACGTATTTGTGTCTGAGTGGATGGTGCCATCCGGGCACGCAGAACTGCAGAGGCAGCTGGACTGCAGAAGAGAGGAGGAGAGGGAAGCTCAGGACAGGACACACCGTTCACAGGATGAGACAGCCAGAAAGGACAAGGCTGGCACACGGGGCAGTACTGCCTCGCCCCGCTGCCACCGTAAAAGCCACAAATCCTGGCCCAGAGCCCAGCATCGTGGTGCACGTCAGGCGGGACAGGAGCAGGCGCGCGGCTGGGCCCCGCTCCCCCCAGCACGGTCCCTGCCCCGGGGCGCAGCCCACCCGCCCTGGGCACCCACAAGCTCCCGGCTCCGAGGAGGAGGGGGCCGGGCCTCTGGTGCTGGGAAGCGCCCTTCCAGCTGGGTTCCCATCAGCAAAGCACTACCCGTGCTGCTCCGCTGTGACCTTTTAAACGGGTCCCGACCCAGTTCCGGCCGCGCAGGGAAAACCGCAGCTCTGAAGAGCCAGTAACACCCGCCTTTTGAAGAACAAGAAGGGAACCCCATTACCTCCCGCCCTCTCTTCAGGACACCAGGCAACACAGAAACACAGGCTCCCTTTTGGTTACAGCCTTCCTCCTGCCTGGCACTGCCGCGTGGACTACAGTGACACGGCGCGTGTCACAGTCTCCACTGCACCTTCTAGATGGCTTCAGTCTTACTTGCGGCAGTCACACCAGCCGAAAAAAAAAAACCCAGCCCAAACTACCCACCCTGAATACCTGTCGCACACTGAGAAAGGCATCTAATCATCAGTCACCGACTTGCTTTCTGGGTACAGTCAGCTGAAACAGTCTGAAGTCACCTACAGTCCAGCTCCTGCTGCTGCGAGCAGTTTTATTACTTTGCTGCTTTTAGATGCACTCTTTACACCGGACGGCTGTTACCCTCCTCAGCACCAGCTGATGTCTCAGGGCAACAGAGACAGCAGGAGCTTAAGCACTGATGTTTTAAGCCAGATCTAGTGGTTTTCCTTCTTTTGCACCTCAATTCCTAACTCTTCTGGTGCTGAACTCCCAGGAGAGCAGGATGGCTGCAGCAGTGTTAAGCGGGGCTTGCTCTGCAGCACTGAGAAAAGGAGCACATGAACTTCACGGTCACCCTTTCACCAGATACCTGGCCCTTTGTCCTCCAGACCTCTGCAGCCGCATCTGAATTGAAGGGCAGGAGAATGACCCAAGAAGAAATTCTCCAATTTGCAGCCCAGTACAGACTGGATTCCTTCCTTTGAAGGACAGTGAAAACAAAAAGATGGCGAGGAAGGAGAATTTGGGGGGAAAGAAGAGAGAGAAGACAGATCACAAACTCAGTGAGCATGGCGTTCGCTGCCCAAGGAGAATCAAATTCACGATTTCATTCACCACTAATAAATCATCGTCTCATAATCTTAAAACGAAAGAAAAGAAAAAGTTCTCTTTGCGAGACAGATCTCGCTCCCCCTGCTACTGCCACTCTCGGAAAACCCGCCCCGTGTTTCTCCAGCTGACAGGCTCCCCACCCCCCCCACCCCTTACTATACGCCATCCCGCAATAGGAAGTTGTATTTCCCGAAGTCGTCATCCCTGGGGCAGAGCAGCATGTCCTTGCGGGCTTTGGCCAGTTTCTGTTTCAGCACCTCCCTCCGGTCTAGCCACTCCGTCAGCTCGTCCTGGCCGTGGGCATAGCGACACTCCTCTCCTTCGGGGCAGGCCTTGCTCTTCTGGAACCTGCCGGCACAAGGAGCGCAGTCAGGAGGGCACCCCCAGGACGGGGTTTTGAGCTCCCCGTCTGGGCTACTCGCTATGGGCCCACTGAAACATGCTGCAAATTCTCTTTCCTAAGGGCAGAGTGATTCTCCTACAAAGCCACGCGTAGCTGGGGAAGGCAGCACGGAGGCCGGACACGGAAACAGAGCAGCCAACAGAGCAACGTCTATGAGGGGATTTGGTCAACGGAACGGAACAATGTGAACTGGAAACGGGCCAGGATAAGGAGAAACCACCACACGAGAGAGGAAATGCCAGGTTAATAGTCACGAGAGACAGAGCCTTCTCTCTAACCAAAATGTCATTTCTAACCATCACAAGCCGTCTGAAGCCCCCTCAAGGCGCTGATTCAGAGGGTGTGAGACATTAAAACCATTTAATAAAGCACCTGGGATTCCCCCACGCGTTGGGCCAAGCAGACTGTTCAGCAGCCTGAGAGCTGCAAGCGTCCTGGCTATGGAGGGCACAGGCGCAGACACGAAGCTCGCTCTCCTGACCTAGAGACACGTGCTCGGGGATGTATTTTTACTGCTCAGTAGTGCGACTGAGCACCTCTGGGATCCAACAGCAGCTTCCTCAGCACCCAAACCTGTCAGCTCATCCCACTACCCCTCCAAGCAGAAGCCCCTGGGGACTCTGTGAGAGCAGGAGGTGGTGGTGGAGGACGAGGAGGGATGATGGAGGTCCTGGGCCTGCTGCCCTGTCCCTGCAGCAGCGGCACAGGAGGCAGATGAGAGAACGGTACCTTTCGCAGAGCCGGAATTCGCCCATGGGGAAGCGGTAGCTCCAGCAGCTGGAGTCACTGTCTGAGGTGAACACCTTCTCCTTGTGCTTCTCCGACTGGATGTGCTGCTGCCATTGCTTCTTGCTGTTGCTGTTCTTCCCACAGAGCCAGCAGTGGTAGCCCATCTAACCGGTGCAGACAGGGCAAAGGGCCAGTCAGTGTGTTAACAGTCCCACCCACCCGCCTTTCCCTGGGGGGGCACGGCCTCTCCCCCCTCTCCTCCCAGAGCGTCCTGGAAGCTCCACTCCGTGTACGACCACCCGCACATCCCTGCCGTGTCACCTTTAGCGCCTTGTGCTGCCACTGAGGGGGAGCAGAGGAGATGCTCTGTTGGAGCCTACCGACGGCTCCCGCGGGCTCAGAGAACAGGGCAGCTCAGGTCACTGCTGTGGCCCCCCTGCCCCTGCCGACGGCCCAGGGCGGGTCTGACTGCAAAGCCCCCCGGGCGCGTGGGCAACGCAGGACCCTTCAGGAGCACCAACCCTTCCAGCAGCCACCACCCCTGGGCTCAGGAGACACATCTGCCTCTAGTTTTCCCAGGCCTCTGCGCTGCAGACCCAGCTCTTCAACAGGCCAGCAATGGCTTTGCTGGCTTTCTCAAGAGCCGGCAGGAACTCTGGGGAGAGGCTGAGCCCACACAAAAGGGAACCTCAGGTGGACTCCTACTGACTCGAGGATTAACAGAAAAGCCACTGCAGAGCCTTGCTGACCCCAGGTCAATCCCTTCCCGCCTCATCTGTGCTGCCCTTGCTGCGCTGCTCCCAAGCTGCCCATTTAACCCTACATTAGCACGGGCTCTGCCCCACAAGAGCAACACAGTCCCAGCTAGCTCACACCTAGAGCACAGGAGAGGGGCAGGCTGTCAGCACGGAGGAGGAGGAGGAGGAGGAGGAGGAGGGCTGAAGGACAAGAGATCAGCTGATTACCATGATGTCAGCGTAGTCGGTGGGCATCTGGATCTGTTTCTCCCCTTCTCGTGAGGTGAGCGGTGTCCCCTCTCCAGGCTTCCCAGGATTGTGTTTCTTTAGCCACATGTCGTAGGTCTGCTGCATATCTAGTACTGCACAAAGGCGACCCGTGAAGTCACTCAGGCAACCTCCCACACCACGCACAAACAACGGGCGAATGCTGGGGGGGGGGCAGCCCTACCCACCCCCTCCTGCGCAGCAGCTCCTGCCGTCAGACTGAAGGGCTGCGCTCAGGAGGCCTGATGTCCCCTCCCCAGGCTCGAGGCCTGAGGTGAGGAACCGAACTCACATCACACCACCCGGTGTCTTCTGTGAGTCCAGGGGAAACCGTGACAGCGGTTACACAAAGCATTCAGGGAGGAGGGAAAGCGCTCCATGGACTTCACCCCCACAGGGTGATTCTCCATCAGGCCTGATCCTGCTTGACCTCAGCAGACATCTGGCTCCAGACAGGGACCTAAGGCAGAGGCTGGATTCAGATGTGTCCCTTCCCTCAAAGCTAGGCTTCATCCTCGGCACTTGAGAGGGAGGAGAGCCCTTAAGCAAGCTGGCCACAGGAAGCACGGGGGAGGAAGACGTAATGACAGCCTGCCCCAAGTTCAAAACCTGTCCAGAGGACTGCAGTCAATGTCTCTTAGAGTTCTTGGTTTAAAACCCACTCAGCGTACTAGTGGGTAGGGAAATTTTGGGTGGAAGCTTTTACTGCATGTCTGCCTTGCCAAGATCAGCTCCTGAGCGAGGCTGTGGAAACATAAATGTTTGCAGACACCCATGTGATGCTCTAAGTGCAATGCGTTAGTGATTTACTTCTCACTAAATGGGTAATTGAGGAACTCAAAGCAATTGGGGATAATGAATGCAAATTCCCCCAAACTGAAACAACGTTGTTGTTTGAAGATTCACCTTCGTGCTTGAGCAAACACACCCAAACTGGTCTGATCTGCTTTAAAGGCCTCAGCAACGAAGTTATGTGAACTGTAACAAATAACAGTGTTTGGCCCAGCAGAAAGCAAGCTCCTCCATCCAAGCATAAAGACCGAACAAACTCGGGGCAGGCCTGAAACCCTTCAAGCTTTCCAGCATCTCCCAACAGAGCTAGGTGAGCACCTGGACAACTGTGCCTTGCAAGCAGAGTCTTTTTTCCCAGCCTGATGTTGGTCTGAATAAACAAGGATTGCTGACAGAGAGCTGGCTGGCCAGGACATCAGCAACCCCGCAGCTATCCCCCAAAACGTAAACTGGGAGCCTGCAAAATTAATTCCAGACAAGCTCCTCCACAAAGGCACCACCCAACGATGTTCTCATTCAGCATCTCAAATCCGCCCCTTTAATGCAATGCCATGAGCGGGGAGTGCCACAGCCCAGGAGCAAGGGATACGGGCAGAAACAGGCAAGAAAGCCAAGGCAGATACAAGACAGACTAGAAAGATACAGGAGCAGCGACGGGTCGGAATCGGTGCTTTAGCAGAGCTCCATATGGAGCCAGGCCTGGGGCAGTACAGGCAACTGGAGGGACAGCACAGGGTGGATTCAAAGAGCTGCAGAAAGGGAGGGCAGCGATGGAGCGATGCAAGATATGGGACCAATGTGCACGAGTCCCAGAGCGAGGAACTCAAGATATAAATGCACATTTAAGAAAAAAGCAGCTCTAAATTACTGTTGATGGACCTGCCCCATAATCCCACCAAAACTCAGGGTACCACCTCTGTCCAGCTCCACCTCTGCTGTCAAGACCTTAACAGACCCTGCATCCACTGCCCAAATGTCCTCTTCCCTCTCCCCAAACTCTCTGGCTCACGTTTCCCCCACTCACTTTTATTTTCCTTCATGAAGGTCCACATGTCTCTCTCCTCAGGGCTGTGGGCGAAGGAGCAGTTGCCCACATACTGGCATTTCCTGCCATTTTGTGCATGGATACACAACTGTTAAAAAACAGAGAGCAAAATTTAGCATCTGCACAAACAATCCTTGCTAGAGGGGAAAGTGGGTTCAAAGAACCAGCCATGGCATTAAATTGCACACAGGAGAGGTCGCACACAGGACACTTCATCCGTCATTAGCTCATGCTTCTCTTCCTCAAGCTCCTGATGACACCAAGGGCGAGTTTTCCCTACGAACACGCAGGCAGCTCAGTTCAGCACCTGGCCTCTCTCCTGCTGCCATTTCCATAGGTGACCAGGTGCAGGTACGCTTAGTGCTGGCCCTGGGTGAGACAGCAGGGAGCAACCTGGATCAACCCAACAGTGTCTCCTGCTGGTCAAGCTGCTGGTCCTCAGAGGTGACTCATTCCCCAGCCATCTCCAAGTGGGTGAAGAGTGGCCTTACAGGTTGCTTCGACTACACTAGCACGCATGCAACTTTACCTCACAGCTACCAACAGCATCATTGCCAGAGAAAATGAGAAGCTTTCCAAGCATCATATTTACTGATCCTCCCTTCTCCCCCCAGTCCTGTCACCAGAGGAGGACAGCAGTGTGGAGACCAGCTGGCCCACATAAACTGGGAAGAAGCGACAACGCTGTTCCTCTCTGGCTGAGGTTAGGTGGGAGCTCAGGCAACGCACACACTCGTGTGGCAACCTGCTTTGCTGCACGATCTGCGACTCACCTGCTGGCCTCATCTCCTACTGCAGCAGCTGTAAATAACTCCTGCTCCCCTCACCAGCTTCCAGCAACTGGCCTGCAACTGGACAGCTCTCAAGGCCTCGCGTGTGGCCTTGCACCTGCCCATGGAGTAAGGGGCAGCAGACCCCCCAGAGTAGGGGGAAAGGAGCTTTCTCCTTTCAGGGAGAAAGGAAAGGAGAAGGAGAGAGAAACTCTCCATCGCCATATTCAGGCCTGGGGTTAGAGGTTGAGTATCTGTCGTTTTCTTCACAGCACGTGGCTTTTCAGCTGAGTTTTTAGTTTTGCTTTCAAAACACATCTCATGAGCAAGTTTCACAATCTACAGCAGCACAGCCACAGCTAAAGCAGGGATAGGCTTCTCCAAAGCGCTCCGTCTCGCCTCTCACCCACATTGAGAAACCCTGACCTAAGGGGAGACTTAAATCTCATTCCCAAACCCTGTGCCAGCTACTTCTTGAGATGGTGACTGCACGAACTGCGACGTCAGAAACTTGCATACGTGCACAGAGTAGTTTAAACAGGTGCTGCTCCTTTTTCTGCTCCATCCTGTTGCTGGATGTGTTTGAGACCTTGCTGCCATCAGTCTGTCCTTGCCTCCCACCTCAGCCAACACGTGCCTGCCTCCCTGCCAGGCCTGCAAGGGAGGAGCCCTCAAAGCACTGCACCATGGTGGGAGGGAAGGGGAAGGGGCACCTGGCCGTGCCAGGCATGGGCCTTACATCATATTGCTGTGGGAAGTTGCGGATGGAAGGCAGTGGTCGGACAGACACCCACTTCTTCTTTGCTTTGGACATCACCAGCAGGACGCGACGTTCCTTCGTCCAGCTGAAGAAGAGAGAATAAATCAAGAGAGGCAAAAGAAAGAGCAGAACAAGGTTTTGTTCTCCTCAGAGACCCTTAAATATTGAGACATGACCAGATCCTTCAGTCCAGCTTGTCCCTGCGCTATCCAGCTGCTCTTAAACATGCACATCTGTGACAGAGAAGCCACAAGAACAGTGTTCAGGAGGATTTCTCCCTGTACTTATCATGTATTTCCTGGGATATCTCTTCTCATAAAGACACAAGAGTCTCTCCCAAGTCCCATATGGCATCACCATGGATTATACCAAACAAATGCATTCCACTCTTCGGCACAGTCAATTCTTGTGCAATCAGATCCATGAAAAACACTTGAGAATATTTTCTGTTTGAAAGGTGCAGTAGAAATGCAAGTCATTACAAGCACTGTCTTATGAACAGGTGCCAGGACGTATTAATTCTCCTGCAGCACCAGTGAGTGATCACCAGGAGATACCCTGGGCAAAACCCCCAGCTCTATTCAGCAGCTGCATGAAGAGATGTTATCCTTCCCCTTCTGGGAAGTGATCCTCACCTGCTCACTTCCTCCAGCAACTGCTGCTTCTGTCTCTTTTTCATCAAAGGTCTTACATTTGCAAGAGGATGCTGGACTATGCCTTTGCGGCTTGTGTTACGGGAAGTCCTATGAACCCTTCCACCCTGTCCTGCCAGGTTGCTTGGGTGAGAGGTGCCACAGTTTCCACATTGGAAAGTCACCTAATGGTGACCTCCCAGCTGACATTCCTCTTCCATCACACCGAACATCCTCACAGGCCCTCGGGAGCCAGGAGGTGCAAACAGACAAGACGTGTAAGAGAAGAGCAACCAAAGCAATGCCAAGGAAACTAATGTAAAAAGCAGCAGAATACCTTGAATCATTGCTAATAGCGACCTGACAGACATTTGCAAACAGATGGGAGTGTAGACAAATGCAGAGGAGAACCATCTTAGTGACCTCGCTAAGAAGAAATTATAGCATCTGGGAAAAAAGGGAATTGTGGGAGCTGGACTGCACACACCAGGAATAACAATCTGCACAGTGCTGTCAGCAAATACAAACAGTAAAGAAGTGAGCTGGAAACTGGAAAACAGCTAGTCTGCAATGCTTGCTATAGTGACAAACACCCCGAGCAGTGAGAGGCTGCTAAGAAACCTTACAGCCTCTTCTGAAGAGGCCAGATGAAGCCCTGGTGAAGGCTTCTTACCTTCCCTGAGGAGGGGTGAGGGAAAGAGAAGGTTGCGTTGCTCACCAGTGGCGGGCTTTGGCACTACAGTACTTGAGGTCTTTATCTGGCTCCACCAGCTGCCCATTCCTCCAGCACTGGCCACACACGAATTTCATCTGGAGGTCAAAGGTGCTTGATGTGGGAGCCCGGGGAGAAGCCTGGAGAAGAGAACCACAACTTCAAGCAAACAGAGCCAAAACGCAACCCCCAAAGTGCCACAGAGACACTGGCAGCTTCCCACATGCCCATGTGCCAGCAACGAGCCAGATTAAATCAGACACAGCCCAGCCCTCCTTTGCCAGTGATGGTTGGTGGCCTGTTGAGATACCAGACGGGAGCAAAACCACCACTTGCTTCAGCACGATTTCCTGGGCTTGGATGTCTGGACAGAAGCACAGCCAGCCTGGCAGCTTCAAGCACTGGCCAGGCCTGGCTGCGAAACCCCTGCAGCCTATCTCCACGTACAGACAAGTTCTGTGAGACCTGCCCCAGTGCTTAATCCCCACTTCCCCTCAGGTAAGTCCCCCTTCCCACCCAGGGAGAGAGCTCAGTCGCACAGCAGAGAGAGCCCCCTCGGGAGGGGGCCTGGCTGCGTCACCGCGCAGGACCCACCGCGCCCGCTTTTGGACCAAGAGGCTCGTGTCACGTCCAGCATTTGACACACTGAAGTCAGAGCCGGGTCCTCTTGTTAATACCCTTCAAAGTCATTTCTGGGCAGGTTTACTTTGCACCAGGCCTCACTTCACCACGATCTCTGGACAGAGGTACAACTGTCAGGGTACATATTTCATATCCTCCCATGCACTTCACTTCACTGGCCTTCTACCCGTCTCCATGAGAAGGCTCTTTCCTTTGGGATTATGACTAAGATTGTGGAGGGAGGAAAAAATGGAGCCGGTCTCCCTGTCACCACTGCCTCACATTTTCTGAGCTCACCTCTGAAAAGCCATTTACACTCTACCACCACAGGAAGGCACGAGGCTGGCGTCTCTGGTTCCTTTCCAAACCAAAGAGCACAGAGGTCCCGTACCAGTACAATGGCTCTCTGACTGCCAACCACCTAAGCGGCCCATCCCCGCGGCCGTGCCTTGACTTCTAACCCTGAGCATCTAAGAAGGAGCAGGCTGCTGCCAGGCACTGATGAACAGAAGCCTGGACCCTACGCGCATCCCCCCCCAGCCGCGAGCACAGGTGGTGCAGGACCAAAGCACCTCCCAGGAAACCCCACGTAAGCTATCGACTACCCCTCTGAATCCTCCAGACCCCGTCTTTCGGAGAAGCAGAGCTGATACACACTGGGTCCTCCATCGCTGTGAAAAGCTGACCAGAGAGCTGACCTTTGCCTGCGCCGACTACGAGAGGCCATCGCCGCTCTGGATGTCCCAGCAAAAGGACCCTTCCAGAGAACCATCCTCTCTCTTGAAAAGCAGCGGCGGTGCTGGCCTACTCGCCAGCAGGACAGACTTTCTGGTGGCATCCAGCATGTGACTCGGTCATCTGTCAGCTTTTACCGGTGCTGGTGACCACCAAGAACACATCAAAGCGTCCGGCTGCAGGGCGAGCAGGGTTCTGGGATATCACAGAAGGCAGTAAGGTGCCTCCCTCTCAGACGTCTGGCCTTTGAACAGGAGTTTTAATCTCCAAAGGAAATGACACCACAGCTCGCCACTGACCGCCCCAACCTACAGGCCTAAGGTAACAAAAAGGCACCGCTGGCATCTTCCTTTTCATCGCCCCGCTGCTATCTGCCATATAACCCTCCAGGCGACAGATGTCTCGGCACAGACAGGAAGCTTGGCTCAAATCTACTAACCCAGCAAAAAGAAAAATCGAGTGGCTCCAGGAGGCACAACAGATCAGAGATAAAGAAAATGCTTCTTGGGTAATTGTGGTGATCTGGGCTGCTTTTTCCACAAATTTTTAACCAAAAGAAGTCCCGTGCATTTCTTCATCAGTCATGCAAACTGCTGGTCAATCCAGTGGGCATGTATGCTCCCAGGGGATTAGAAGCCAAGCGAAAAATCAAAGCTGCTGCTGTTACTGCTACATGACTGTATTTGTAAAGGCAAGACACATACCTGGCAGGCTGCTGATAACCAACAGTGTGGAAATTAGTATCACATGAGGCTCTAGGAGATGAAGCCAGGCAAAAGTGCCTCGGGCTGTGGCACCACCCCTTGCTATGAAGCCAGACAATATAGTGTTAGCTATGCGCCATGGCAACTAAATAAATAAACGTCTTTGGCACGACAGCTCTCCACTTCAGGCTTTGCAGAAAGCAACAGCCCCAGCATGGCTACTCGTGTCTCTCAAATTCTGGAACCCCTCTCAGGGCTACTGAAATGCTCTCTGGAGGAGCCCTGTGCCTCGGGGGACTACATGAGGAGCCCAGGTTACTCCGACACCTAAATGAGTGAGCTGTAGTTAGGTGCAAGTACCCCTTATTACTTTCCTTTCCTCTCCATGCTTAAATTGCGAATTCTGAGGCCAGTTTTTATGGGGATTCTGCAGCTCATTAGCAGAGCAAAAACAGAATGGCTCTCGAAAACCAGAAAAAAAGAGGGTTAAAACCCCTTAATTTTCAGGGATGCGATGGGAGGACACCCAGCTACCTGCAACAGTCCCTCCTGCTGACTGCCTCTTCAATCTGCAGCCACTGGGTTTACTCCTACAGCAACCCTCTACTGGACCAAATTTGTGGGGCCAAGTGCGAGATCCCTGACCGCTGTTTAGCAAGCAGTGTATCTTCATCTTCCACTTCTTGCTAGGCCTCCTGACCTGCATTGTCACAGCTGCTGGGTCCCTGTACGCTGCCTGCCTCTTTCCTCCACAACTGGATAGCCCCAGCCACTAACGGAGTCCAACTGGCAGCTGTGATGAAACTGCAGCAAAATCCCCGGGAGTGACTTTGCTTCCGCTGACCAGAGGGCGCTGGGGTGAGCCTGGATCACACAGGATGGTGGGAAGGAGGGGTCTGCTTTTACAGCACTCCTGGGAAGTTTGTCTTTGCCAGGCAGCCAACTTCGAAAGCTGGAAGGACGCTGAGAAAACTGTGAGTCACATTAGCCTGCTTGGATGGGAGAAAATAATGGCAAAAGTAAACATCTCTCAACAGATATGTTAGTTCTGCCCCCAGGGTCTTCGGCAGCAAGCCAGTGTCTCATCCCAGAGCACAGCCCTCTGGCTGAGTACGTGCTGATGCCGAAGCCCCAGTTTGCTATTGCAAACACATGCGTCTGACCAGCTTGACTCTGTCTCCCTGCACAGTGCCAGTGCCAGGCTACCAATCTAGACAGACAGCCAATGGTGCTGGTGGTAGGCACTTTCTGACTGTACCAACAAGGCTGCTGCTTCACCTCTACACAAACTGATGCCCCGGAAGGTTGGAGGGTACAGCCCAGCTCTGTGACAGGCATTTCTGGGGCACAACCAGACTTTGTCATTGGCCATCAGCCCTAACACTGCCCACAGAGCCCAGAAACTGTAGCTCTCTGCCCATCCCCTGACAGCTGATGCAGCTGTGAAATACACTGGTATTTCTTTTCCTGATCCTCTGCCCCCTGCAAGCCCCAACAGCCAGAAACGAAACCCTCGCTCAGCATCCAGATCCCACGTGCTTCAGAGGACATGCTCTGACCATGCCCGCTGAACAACTTGTTCTTCCAGCAGCAGCACCTCCAGACAAAGGTGAATGTGAAACTGCAAGGCTTACAGGAAAACGGCTGCCCATCTGTCTTTTTTTTATCCCCAGATTATGCACAGAGAATGACAAGACAGAGCTTTCTGGAAAACACAGGCAGATCCACAGCAGGCAGGACAGAACCAGCCACTAGACCTCACCCTCCATGGGGCAGGGATTGCTGATATAAATCCAACTACTGTCACAAACTGCTGCAAATTCACACTTAGTTTCCTCCACTGTGGAGATGCAGGCAGCTGCCTCTGTCCCCACACTGGGTAGAAAGAGATCATAGCCAGCTCTCTCCGCAGGGACCATTCAGATCATCCAAGCTCATTTGTCATATAATAAAGGCTGTAGAAGCTTGTCCTCTCAGCTAACTGAGAGGGTAGAACAAGCTGACTTAAGCAAGTCAGACAGCTTGGGGATCTAGAGACCTTGGTTACTCTGGACTGCTGCTTCCCATTCCTCTCCCCCAGTCATTTCAGACCACAACTGGAGAACAGGCTGCACAGGTATGTTGATGAGCATCTCCTCAAAGATAATTCCATCTCATGCAGCATAACCAGTATATAGGTAGACACAGCACCCATTGCAAGCATCGGTGCAGTCACCTGCATCTTTCCTGTTGGGCTAACCCATGGCCATCAGACCTGCTTTCTCCCCTGCATCAGTGTCCCACAGCCTTCAGAACACTACTGCTGGCCCATAAGCTAGCAAAAAAAAAGCTGCTATGCACCATGTGTGACTCAGATCCCTTTCCTATAAAACACCTCCTCCACAGGGTGCTCACAAGATGCACTCAGTGCTGGTCTCTGCAGAGGGACTCCTAGGTGAGAGGTCCCAAACAAAAGTCAAGCACCCTTGCTCTGACAGTAAAGCAGAGGCCAAGGGGTGGTAAGCTCGGGCCTCCACAAGGGGAAAGCAAGCTGTCAAGTGGGAACAAAAAAGATTCACAATACTTTCCCCACCATTTTTCCGGGGAGAGAATCGCTCCTATGCCTGAGAGCTTGCTAGGAGGCATGAAGTTTCTCATCTCATCAGATGTATCTTCTGAAAGTAATTAAAGAACAAAAAACTCCCTGTTCTAATGGCAAAACTGCTTTAGTTCAACCTCAGGGTTCAGCTCAGCATCTTCCTCACTGGGTGGGCTCTGCTCCTACACTACAGAACAAACCCTTGGGGAAAAAAAAGGGTAAGGCAGTGCCAGCCCTAGCCAACAGGCTGGAAGAAAGCAAACAAAAAGGTGCCCTTTGCTTATAACACACCCCTCCAGAGAAAGCTCTTGGCAGTGCTGGAGGGTGCAGTCAGAGGCACCTTCTCCCACACCGAGAGTGATGGCACAACGCGAGGCAAAGCTCACAGCCTCCTGGCAAAGCACCACTAAGATCTCTGCCCAGCCTCAACAGCACCTGAGCTGCAAGTTCCACCCACTCCTGCATTCAGAGCAGTCCTGTGGGTCATGAGTCACTTCTTAAAGAGTCCTTCAAACTGCTGTATTGTCCCTTGGCCACTAAAGGGCAGCAGGACACCTTTGGTCCCGGCTCTGTGTGGCCACAGTCCCAGAAGTCTCCCAATTTTACTAGCAAAGTGTCCCAGGAAGCATTACTTTCTGTGTGTTGCCCTCCCTGATCTGGAGGCTTCACCCCACCACTGAACAGAGCAGGTAACAATGCTGCAAAACAGGGCATAAAGCTCACTGCTAGCACTGCAACCAGGAAAGCTCTCAGCTGTCCTCCTCCTCAGTGGCCAGCCTGGTCTGCCTGGGACCTGTCAGGCTCAGCAGTGGGAGGAAAACAGAGAAAGTGCTGGAACATCTGGGAGCAAAACTAGGCTGCAAGCCCTAGATGCACCTTACTCACCATGCTGTTGGCTGGTTTGCTAGCATGTGCCTCCATCTGTTGCCAGTATTTCTTCGATTCCTGCACGATATCTTCATGGGTCATCCCTGGGAACAAAGGGAGACAGGACTGAGCTACCCTGCTTTGGCCAAGAGAAGAGAGAGAGGGAGGGAGGGAGGGGTTGCAGGACTTCTTATGTTGGGGCTTAGTAACCTCTGGGTGGCTGACAGCTCCCAACAGTCTCACTGGTGATGTCAGGTCATGGTTTGTGAGGGAACCCACCACAGAACATGTTTAAGCACAGGCTGAGGAAGCTCCTCTCTCCACACAAGCCAAACGAAAGGGGAAGTTTGGTCTTTTGGGCTCACTCAGATCTTGCATTCAGCTCAGGCTGTCTGCAAAGGACCCAGATGCTGCCTCCAAGATGATGACTCTTCACTAGGGGTCAAGAACTTGACCAAGGCTGTCCCCCAACATTCTGTCAAAAGATCCTACCCCAGGCCCTGAAGACAATGCTTTGTTACTGTTGATCTACTGTATATTGGAGTTTTTGCTACTAGATTGGAAGACCACATCTAGCATCCCCAAGACCCAAGAAATCTCACCTAATTCCTGCTGGGATTAATTAGCCTGTTATATATTTCAAATTATAGGGGCTGCCCACCAATCAGTAGGTGAAGAGGAAAGGTGAAATTCAACACAAACACTAAGCACAACCAAGGTAGCAAGGAAAGGCCAACAGTGCAAAACTAACCAAAGGACAGCTGCTTGTATGTAACCAGCAAGGAAAGATCTGCAAGGTTTCAGGAATCAGAAACGCAACATCAGATAACATGAAAAAGGGTTCGTCAGACCTTATCTAAGGAATTAGCTCCTGATCAACTCAAGTGGGGAGGGAACAGCCTTTGCCAGCACCAATCAGCTATACGGGCGCTATGATTCTCAGAGCACTAAACAAGCCAAAGTATGTAAAAGTAGGAACTGTCTGGTCAATGTGAGGACTCTTGTTAAAAAAAAAGCCATGTTATTTAAGTGCTATAAAGACCCGAGGTAGCTGCCAAAACAAACTGAAGTAAGTAGCTTACAACAGCCAGTTGACTGCAACAAGTGGAGTGCTGAGGATGGCCTTGACGGAGCACCCCCAGCACAGAGAGGCTGCAAAACTGCTTGCTTTGCTTTTGCTTACAGCTTTTATTATTGAAGTGAGGTGTTCCTCAGGCATGTCACAGGGGCATGATCTTTGATCTGGGAGCCAGCATGTTCCAGAACTTTAGGGCCAGCAAACACAAGTTTTCATCTCAGCTTAGGCCGTGTGTAACTTGGGTAAGTCACAGCATTCCTGACCTCAGTTTCCCCATCTGTGATTTCAGCTGTCCAGGTCTCTGCCAGGCAACAATACTGCTGTTTGTACAGGGCTTGGACAGGATGAAAAGCATTCAGGGAACTTTACCATTCTTCGGGAACATTTGCTCGGGTCTCCAAAATGGTAGCTGCTGCATAGCTGGTACTACTCCCAGATCAGAGCTGTTTATGGATTTTCTCCTTCTTAAAACATCAATCCCAGAAAGAAGAAACTGTGCAGAGTTAGAAAATCTGCAACTCCCTTTTCAGTGTCCAAGTATTCCAGGGCTGGACACAATGCTGATCTGTACTTTGAGGACAAAAACTATAAAGCTGGGAAAACCACAGCAAAAAGTTAATGTGCTGCACTGGACCTGGCAGAGAAAGGGCCAAAGCAGCTCTCATCTTCTCCATTTTACACACCTGCAATGTGATTCCTGGGGTGCAGAACCAACGGGAGAAGCATATACAGCTCTTGACAGAAGACTGAATTTCAAATGAAGTTCTCAGCAAGTGACTGCCTTCTTCCAGTCCCAGAAATCTGAACTAACTCAGCAATATGGTCTAGAAATGTGGTGGTTGGTAAAAAACCCCTTCCCAAATATGAAAGGATATCTTCCAATATACCAGCTATCTAAAGCATGAACTGTCCCAAAAAGATGATCTGGGAACCAAAAGGCCCATATATTGATTACTTAGAACATTTTAGCATCTTTTGCATCATTAGTGAGCACAGACTCTGTGGTTTCCACTGATGGAAGACGATAGCGAGATAGGTCTGCGAAAAGCCACAGTGAACAAGAAAACAGTCTTGCTTGTCCACATTTTCAGATCCTGGGAATCTTTACTCCACTAATACAATTGTTTTCCCCATGAACAAAGCCACAAGCTCTGTAAAAGCTCAAATGGCTGTGAAATGCAACACCCCACTGATTTCAAATGCAAGCTGCTATGAATGATGCTCCCTTCCTATTCTTGCCGAGCAAACAATGCCCAAATCAAACACTCTGCTCCAAAGCTAAAGCATTCCCAGAGAGTGGCAACAACTACCTTTCAGCTGTTTCCATAACAAGGGCTACACTTAAGAGAGGTAATAAACTACCACTCCAGGCAGGCAAACTCACAAGGAAAGCAGACTTATATATACAGCCCTGCAGAAAAAAACCCACAAAGATGATGGCTCTCCCACTGTTGGAAAAGACGGAAATAAGCACAAGGCTTACTGACCATCTCTGCAGCTAAACTCATGGCTTGTTTCATCTCCTCAGCTTCCCCTTTGGAAATCACCTCTTCGAGTAAAGGAGGCAAAAAGCAAAAATCAATCTAACAATTTCTTCTACAGGCTACAGAGGAAGGAATAGGGAGGGAGATGAGGAGGGAGCAAAGAAACTTTTTCTAAAGAAAAAAAAAAAAAACAACAACAAAAAAAACAATCATGGGGTGGGGAAAAGAGCAAGATGCTTGAGTGCCCAGCATACCATGGGCAGTAACATAAGCATGTAGGGCAGCAACGGTGACCTATGGCTCACAGGCAGCATGATGTCTTAGAAACTCTGATGGTGTATTTTTTTAATTTCCTATGGCCACAAGTAAGTGACGCCAAACAGCGTTTGCCACAGTGTGCTGCTTGTTCACCACTGTCCCTCATGAGCCAAGCCAAAGCCAAGGACTGCACTGAAAAACAGTGACGGGTGCTTGAACAATAAATTAGAAAGGTTGCCCCCAACTACAACAAAGAATGGTGAGAAACATCCACAACATATTTAATCTCTGAAGTATTCCCATTACCAGGCTGGATCTTGCACTAAGCAAGACCCTGTAGTGAAAAAAGATGTAGGTAGCATTGTGGGTGGGCCACCATCTACTCGGTTAACAGGAGAGCAGCAAGAGAAACCCTCCAATGTGTCAGAGACAGAGAGAGAGAGAGAGAGAGGACTGAAAGTGTCAGATGTGGCAGTGTCATCATATGAGTGACCTGAATATAATTTATGCAACAGAGTCTTCAGAGGCATGTCATCAAAGCCTTTCTGGGAAACACCAAGTATCTTGCAATTTCCCACTTGGTGAATTTGTTTAGAGAAACTGGAGATGCACAGCCTTCCTTTATATAACTGCTTTGTCACCTGTGCATGCTGCCATTCTCACTGCACCAGAGGCTTGCTCAGGGGCCCTATTGCTCATTAGGGTCTTGCACAGGATTTAAGCACCAAAACACCTCTGGGGATTCAGCCCTACCTAATCTAATAATCATTTCAACTTATGCAGCTGGTCCCAAGGGAAAGGCTTCCTGGTCTGCAAATTACAGGAGCGCATGTAAAGGAACAAGGGCCAAACCATCTCAGAGAACACCTTGGCCCTCTCTTCTGTGTCCCCGAGGAGACAGAGTAAGTACATGCACAAGTGAGAGACAACTTGTCAGTACTCCCAAATCACCCCCCTCTCAACTGGCCCTGAGTACACACTGGAGGAAACTTGGGTGTATGCATCACCAGTCCTGCACCAACTCAACACACTCACCTGAATACTGCTGCAGCAGCCAGACCTTGAGCTCGATGAAACTGTGAGCGAAGTGGCAGCTGTCCTCGCGCAGGCAGCCATAACGCACCTCGTGTCGGCACACGTCAAACTGGAAGTGCTCCTGGAGCTGGCGGATCTTGGAGTATTTCAGGGAGGTGGAACGCACAATGTGGACCAGACACCTGCAGCCAGGCCAGAGAAACACGAAGCACCAGCTCTGCTTAAATTCAGAGATCAGACACATTTCAAAATATGTAGCAAAGTTACCAACTCCTCTGGCTCAGCAAGTCCCTAAGTCTCAGGTTGCCAGGAACCAGAAGGGGTTGTATTACTGTGTACTTGACATGTTTCTTATACTTGTTTTCCTAAACATTCATTACCAGCCAGTCAGAGGCAGGATCCTGAGCTAGAGGATCTCTGGTTTGACCTTTATGTAAAGGCCAAACTGAAAGGCAAATTAAGTCAATGAAAAACTTAAGCTGACTCCAAAGGGCTTTGCTGATGCCTGAAACCCCTCAGCACCAGAAGCAAACACACACAGGGTGAAGCAGACAGCGCTATTTATTGTGCTTTGAGCTGCTCTATGATTGGAACCCATAGGGAGGAAAGAAAGAAAGAGACCAAGGCCCTGGAGTTAAACTGGCTGGACTTGTGAGAGATTGCTCCCATCAGCACAAAAAATGTTCACTCACTTGTTGTCATGGAAACTGTGTTTGGCAGAAAGGTTGGAGCAAACAGATGGTGTGTCCTTGGTCCCTTTGCTGATAATCCGGGGTTTGCTGTCAAAGCAAATCTGAGAAGAGAAGAATTAGCATGCTGGGAAAATCTTAGAGAGTAGTGAACCAAAGCCACTTCACTTGGAAGGGGAAGAAGAACCAGAGCCAGCCTATTCTAATGTTCAAAGTTAGGAGAAGCCTGGTGAAAACTTTGTGGTAGGGCTTTAAAATAAGCAAGCGAATTTTTAGAAAAGCTTCTGGACAACATTTTTTGGCTTATTCTCAATAGTACTTTCCATAGTGGTTGGAAAAATTTTGGTCAGAGCCACATATTCTTTCCCAGTTAGCCAACGGAGCGAGAACAAGGGGGAAACAGCGGGGAGAAATAAAAGAACAGCGAGTCCACAGCAAAGAACATGTCCCTTTACATGTACCACTGCCAGTGTGGGGAACTCTCTGCTGCAGAGCATCAAGATGGTATGAGCCAATCTTTAACTGACTGATGCAGTGGCTCAGCACAGACATCAAGTGGGAATTTGTTGCATTACGGGGTTCTGATTTCTAAAGTAGCTTGGGCTAAATTACAATTCAAAGCAGCACCTCAAGACAGACGAAGAGACAGGTGACCCCATGAGGCTTTGTGTACCTGGCTCAGCTGCAGGGCTGAGGAGGAAAACTACCCCTCCTTTCTCCTACACAGCTGGGAGCAGGGCACTGGCTTGGACGTATAGGATCATTTAGATTGGAAAAGACCTTTAACTTTCCCCCATCATACATATTGCTGTCCAGGTAGTTACCTTAGAATAGTCTAGGGCTGCTACAAGGGAATTCCCCAGTCTCCAGAAGAAACCAAAATGCTCCTGGAAATGCCTGAGAAGAGTCCTGGGGAGCTACTGAGCGTGGACCTGCCTCCAACAGGAAGAAAACTCTTCAGGTAATGGCCTAGAAGTTGTGTGTGACCTCTACCCAAGACTTCAGCTGTTTCCAGGGAAGGTGAAAACAGTCCTGGAGCTGTCTGAGAGAGGTCCTGGGGAGCTACAGGGCATTGACCTGCCTCCATCATGGACAAAACGCCTTGGCTAGCAACCTTAGAGCAGTCTGGGACTGCTACCTGAGAACTTATCCACCCCAGAGGAGGCAAAAATAGTCCTGGAGATGCCTGGGAGGAGTGCTGGGCAGCTACCTGGCATGGACCCAAGTCCTACATGAAGAAAACTTCTCAGGTAACTGCCAAGGAGAAGTTTGCGGCTGCTACCCAGGATATTCATCCATCTCTAGGGAAGGTGAAAGCACTCCCAACTGTAAACCTAACACTGCCAAGTCCACCACTAAACCATATCCTTAAGCACCACATCTAAGTATCTCCAGAGATGGTGATTCAACCACTTCCCTGGACAGCCTGTTCCAATGCTTGACAACCTTTTCAGTGAAGAAATTTTTCCTAAAATCCAATCTAAACCTCCACTGGCACAACTTGAGGCCATTTATTCTTGTCCTATCACTTGTTACTTGGGAGAAGCGACTGACACCCACCTTGCTACAACCACCTTTCAGGTAGTTGTAGAGGGCAATAAGGTCTCCCCTGAGCCTCCTTTTCTTACCCCACTTCCCTCAGCTGCTCCTCATAAGACTTGTGCTCTAGACCCTTCACCAGCTTCACTGCCCTTTTTGACATACTCCAGCACCTCAATGTCTTTCTTGTAGTGAGGGGCCCAAAACTGAGCACAGTATTCGAGGTGAGGCCTCACCAGTGCCCAGTACAGGGGGATGATCGCTTCCCTAGCCCTGCTGGCCACACTATTTCTGATATAAGCCAGGGGCTATTGGCCTTCTTGGCCAACTGGGCACACTGCTGGCTCACATTCAGCTGGCTGTTAACCAACACCCGTGGGTCCTTTTCTGCCAGGCAGCTTTCCAGACACTCTTCCCCAGGCCTGTAGCTTCGCATGGGGTTGTTGTGACCCAAGTGCAGGACCCGGCACTCAGCCTCGTTGAACCTCACACAACTGGCCTCAGCCCATTGATCCAGCCTGTCCAGATCCCTCTGCAGAGCCTTCCCACCCTCAACCGGATCAACACTCCCACCCAACTTGGTGTCATCTGCAAACTTACTGAGGGTGCACTTGATCCCCTCATCCTGATCACTGATAAAGACATTAAACAGAACTAGCCCCAACACTGAGCCCTGGGCAACACCACTTGTGACTGGCCACCACCTGGATTTAACTCCATCCACCACCACTCTTTGGGCCCAGCCATCCAGCCAGGTTTTTACCCAGCGAAGAGTACACCTCTCCAAGCCATGAGCAGCCACCTTCTTCAGGAGAAGCTGGGGGAAACAGTGTCAAAGGCTTTACTAAAGTTTAGGTAGACAACATCCACAGCCCTTCCCTCATCCACCAAGCAGGCCACTTTGTCATAGAAGGGCACCAGGCTAGTCAAGCAGGACCCGCCTTTCATAAACCCATGCTGACTGGACCTGGTCCCTTGCTTCTCCCATACATGCTGCTTGATGGCACTCAACATGATCTGCTCCGTAACCTCCCCCAGCACCGAGGTCAGACTGACAGGCATATAGTTCCCCAGATCCTCCTTCCAGCCCTTCCTGTAGATGGGCATCACATTTGCTAACCTCCGGTCAACTGGGACCTCCCCAGTTAGCCAGGGCTGCTGATAAATGACGGAAAGTGGCTTGGAGGAAGCACTTCCACCCGCTCCCTCAGTACCCCGGGGTGGATCCCACCCAGCCCCATAGACTGTGTGTGCCAAAGTGGTGTAGCAGGTCGCTAACCATTGCCCCCTGGATAACGGAGGCTTCACTCTGCTTCCCATCCCTGTCTTCCAGCTCAGGGGGCTGGGTATCCCGAGAACTACTGGTCTTACTATTAAAGACTGAAGCAAAGAAGACATTAAATATCTCAGCCTTCTCTTCATCCTTTGTCACTGTGTTTCCCCCCACATCCAATAAAGGATGGAGAATCTCCTTAGCCCTCATTTTGTTGCTAATGTATCTATAGGAACATATTTATTGTCTTTTACAGCAGTAGCCAGATTAAGTTCTAGTTGGGCCTTCTAATTTTCTCCCTGCATAACCTCATGACACCCCTGTTGTCCTCCTAAGTTGCCTGCCCCTTCTTCCAAAGGCCATTAACTCTCCTTTTTTTCCCTGAGTGCCAGCCACAGCTCTCTCTTCAGACAGGCCAGTTGTTTTCCCCACCAGCTTATCTTCCGGCACATGGTGATGGCCTGTTCCTGCACCTTTAAGATTTCCTTCTTGAATAATGTCCAGCCTTTCTGGACAACTCTGCCCTTCAGGACTGCCTCCCAAGGGACTCTGCCAACCATTCTCTTAAACAGGACAAAGTCTGCCCTCTGGAAGTCCAAGGTGGCAATTTCTTACTTCTCCAGGAATCAAAACTCTATCATTTCATGATTGTTGTGTCCAAGACGGTCTCCAACCATCACTTCACCCACAAGTCCTTCTCTGTTTGCAAACAACAGGTCCAGCGGGACACCTTCCCTAGTTGGCTCGCTCACCAGCTGTGTCAGGAAGTTATCTTCCACACACTCCAGGAACCTCCTAGACTGTTTCCTCTCCCTGGTATTGTATTTCCAGTACACATCTGGTAAGTTGAAGTCCTCCACAAGATCAATGGCTAGTGATTGTAAGACTTCTCCCAGAATATTTCATCTGCCTCTTCATCCTGGTTGGGTGGTCTGTTACAGACTCCCATCACGATATCCACCTTGTTGGCCTTCCCCAATTCCACACACAATCAACCCTATCGTCACCATCATTAAGCACTAGACAGTCAAAACATTCCCTAACTTACAGGGCTACCCCACCGCCTCTCCTTCCTTGCCTATCCCTTCTGAGGAGTATACAGGCATCCATTACAGCACTCCAGTTGTGTCAGTCATTCTACCATGCTTCCATGATGGCAGCTATCAACATATCAATGGTCCAGATATATACTGAGATGATGAAGGGTGCACGTTCCCTCCCGCCAGCTCTGTACCTCACAGAGAAAGGTGAAGATGCCCTGATGTTCCTTGAGGAGCTTGGCAATGGTGAGGCTGCTCTGCTTGATCCCACCTAACGGGTCAAAGAGGAGGTCACGGTTGAGGGTCCCCTTCCTCTCCTCCGTCCACACGTCGATCTCTTCCTGGTGGTACGCGAAGGTGCAGTTATCCCCGTACTTACAGTCCTGCTTGTTAAGCATATCTACAAAGCAACAAACAGCACACACCACCACACAGGGAGGGCGGCCCAGTCAGAAACTAAAACTCTCTCTCGTCTCCTCCCACTGCCCACACCTCACAAGGAGCTGAAAGCAAGAAAACACAGAGTTAAAGAAAAAAGACAAGACATCTCCCCCCAAGTTTGTCTATATCAAGACCTTCAGGAAAGTTAATGCAAACTACGGAATGATGACAATCTCAAATAATACTGCCTGTTGTGGAACCCACCTCAAAATGGAGGCCTGCTTTAATTCAGCATCTGGCCAAGAACAGATCACAATTTAACCACAACTTTTAAAGCCAATCCAGATTAAGTTCTCTTAGCCACCCAGCACTAAGGAGCCCTGTTATCTCGGCTCTTGCAATCTCCCCACTTCATTAGGCACTTTGTAACGACACTACCCTGGGGACCAGTCCAGTCACATTGCCTGCACATACAGGGATGGGCTGGAGGAAAGGAGCAGGCAGAAGGAGCTTTTCCCTAGGCAGAACCACAGCCCTTCCACGGGGTCACTGGGTGGAGTGGGACTAATGCAGGCTCACGCACAGGAGGCAGGTTCTCATCAAAGCCCGTGTCAGCAGGGCACCTCTGAGCTCTTGGCTGTACACAGCATTTCACTATGCCTTTGCAACTCTTCTGCTCCACCACTTTAAAAGCTGCCTGCTCTCCACAGCATGGGTGCTCATTGCCTTTCACTGTACTGAGCCTCCTGGTCCATGGGCTACTGATGGGACAGGAAGACCTCAAAGACAGCAGGTGATATGAACTAGAAGTCCCCTCCCAACATATGTACAGCCCCCTTCCCAGCCACTGACAGTCCTATCCCCCCTCCAGATCACCTTTGCACAGGTAATAGGATCCTACAAAGTTGGTTTTGGTTGGGCGAGGACGGATCCTCTTCCAGGTCTTGTCTTCTGAGTTCTTTAGCCTGCCCAGCAGGATGTCCCGCTTGCACTTGTGCTCCAAGCCTTCCCGATAGGTGTAATCGCCAGCCTTCGGTCCTGAAGGAGAGAATAATCCCATCAGCCTGGGGAAAGGCAAACCCCAGCCTGGGCCAGCGCTCTGGGTGGCAGAGCAAACACATCACCTGTTTTGGGGTAGCAAATATGACACGCTTGTTTGAAGACGTGAGTAGATGCCAAGGGGTTCTTCACCAGCAGGGCTGTGTTGGGCATGACTGGTTCCGGCTGGGACAGCAGGTGCTCGGTGACCTTGGGCACAGCTGGGTGACTCACTCCACCATGGCTGACCTGAGCAAAACCACACGTACCTCCTTTCTCAGCTCCGCAACCACACGGGTAAGAAACCTCTCTAAGCCCTTGCCCCATTCCAGTCTCTCAAAAACCCTCCTCATTTCCTCCCATCAAAATGTTCCTATTTGAAACTGCATTTCCAAAAGAGCTGTACGCAACCTCTTCAAAAATAGCAAACAGCGTGGTATATTCACTTCAAAGACAGGCCTCTTTCTCTCGTGGTAGGGGACCTCAGTTTTCTATCATGAGCCACAGAACAAAATGCCCCACTCACTCCTTCCCATTCCTTCCTTCATGACCAACTCTGTATTTGAAGACTCTCCAATCAACCCTTATCCCAACCTGGGAAAAAAACAAACCATTTATCAGTGAGTCTTCAGGGAGCACACTAATCTGAGGACAGAGGCTTGGATCTGACTGAGGTAACAAAGATAGGATGATGCCAGGAACTTAAGAATAATTCTTGTTCCAAGCTTGCTAACCAGAGATAATTATCCCCTTTTCTTCCAAGACTGGAAACATGGGACAGGGGCGGGACAGTGTATCTGGAAAAGTCTCCTGACAAGGGCAGGGAGGAGCAAAGAACCTCCTTAGTTTTAAGACAAAGCTGGCTTACTCTGCCTCATGCTTCAGTGTTACATGGCTGTCAGACATAGTGGAACACAGGTCTCCACGATTCCCTGTTGAGCCTACAACCTAGGTCACACCATGTTTACCCTAGCAATATGAACAGTTGCAGACAAAAATGAAGATGAAACAAATGTCCTCCTACTGACACTGGGGAAATCTTTACATGTCTTGCCACAACATGGGAGGCATCACTCACTGGGGCGGGTTAAGAAGAGGGGCCCAAATTACCTACATCACCCAAGTCACTACTACCTTGGTTCCAGAGCACCTTGGGACATCAGCACGGGGGAGCGGCTCACTCACCACGGGGGATGGTTTTTGGCTGCCAGGTGGGTGTCGCAGTTCCTGAGGGCTACTTTCTTCTGAGCAAAAAAAGGGGGAAAAAGTCCCACAAAACAAAAACAATCATTTCACTTTCAGAGGCAGTTCTGATCACAGAGAGACAAGCAAATGCTTACTAAACCCATTTGCTTTATTTATTTCATAACATTTTAATACTTTTTTCCCAAACCACCTGTCTAAGTCTTTGAAAAACTCCAGAAAAGGCTTTATTGTTCCCCAAACTCTACTGAACCCAACGGTATGTTGCTTACCACTGGCATTCCCAAGGTGGCAGCTCCAAGGTAGCCCAACGCTAGGTGAATCTGACTGTTGAGTGCTTACTGGACAATCTCTGCTCTTCTCAAAATACTTTTGTTGCCATACAGGGGACAAGCTGGCCAAGAAGCCTGCCTTTCCTCCTGGGACAGGACGGGACCTATTCTTTGCCCACTATCCTCCACAACTTTGTTCCTTGTGAGGTGACAGTGCAGTGCCCCATTCAACAGGACACTCACTGCCCTGAAACCAGAGATGGAAGTGACCCACCTTGGCCTTTACCGTTCTGCCCAGCGCAATAAGATCCTATATCATCTAAAAGAGTCACGAGAATTTTTCTCATTTGGTCCGAAATGTCAGAGTCATTGGGGAGGGTGGAGGAATCATATCATAGCCTAGGAAATTCTGCCAAGGGAGGTGTCCTAGACACCAAGCGAGGTTTAAATCTCATTGCTCATCATTATACACCTTTTTGTTCCTTTCTCCTCTGACATTTCACACCATGCACGTACTGGTTATCTGGGATTACACACACCTATAGCCTTTCTCATTACTCCTGAGCTAGACCTATTCAGCTGCTCTGTCCAAGACATTCTATATTTGTACTCCCATTCTGCAGCACTGGCAGACAGAGCTGTATGACAGATGTCCACAGCGTTGAATGAAATCATTTTGGCATGCATTCACCGGTAAAGCACCACAAAATGCCATCAGCCCCACACCTACCAATGGCAAAGGAATCCAAGGCATCCAGCGACCCTCTGTTTGTCCCAAAGGAGTCCAGGGCATCAAGCCGTGAGTCTGTGTAAGGGAGCAGATCCAGGGAATCCAGCGAATCTAAGGTGGAGCCACCACTTCCACCTGGCGGGGCCTCAAAGGCATCCAGGACAGAGGAGGAGGAGAGCTGCTTGGTGGGATCCATCACCAGGCCGAAGGAGGCAGGTGGCAGCGGGGTGGAGACAGGGATGCTGGCTGTCACGACTGGTGGCAGCAGCGGAGTTCCCCCGGGAAACACAGGGATCAGCTGGGGCATCTCTGTTGGCAGGTTGGTAGGAATGGTGCCCTGGACCAGAGACTTTGGGGAATCAGGAAGGAGGAGGATAAACAGCACATTAGGGACAAGGAGCAGAGAAGGAGTGAACACAGAGAGCAACAGGCTCCCACTCGAGCGTGTGCTGTATTATCTGAAGCAAAAGGACACCTGACAGTTCCATCTGCCTGCAGACTTCCCACAGACCTTCCAATCTACCTACACCACATACAGTCTGAACCGAGGTCCCTGAGGAGGTGTTGGGCTACCTGAGCTCATCAGTCAGCACTGGGCATTTAAACCAACTCAGGCTGAGAAACAAGGCAGCTGAATACACAGAGCAGCATGGTCAGTGTAATGACCACTATTTGTGACACCTCTCATCAGAGCTTTTTCACTCGAGAGGAATCCTGCATGAATATGATTATATTGCTTCCAGACCCAACCTGGCTTGCATAACATCAGCAACACTGGAAACTAAAACCCAACATAAGCATGAATACAGATTGTCTCTACAGCTCCCAGACCTGTTCAAAGATCTTAGACTGAATGCAGCCTGCACAAAGTACAAGGAGATTAGAAGATTCTCACTGTATAAAATACATCCATCATTCCTGCTACAGCACAGGCATTTTTATCCTCAGGCCTGCTTCAGCTCCAAGGACAGCAAGGGCCAGGGGGAAGGTGATGGAGGGGAAAGGCTATCTTGGATACCTTTAGAGGGGCAGCTTCACGAAGTTGCACACAGCAAAGCAGGCTTGAAGGCAAGCTCTTTAGATACTCACAAGCCAGTTACAGAAATAAAGGAAGGAATTTATGAGTTTTGCCAGAGGAAGAGCTAGGAGGAAAGAGTGACAGAAAGAGAGAAAGGCAGCATGCATATCCAAACACTCCAAGGACCTGTTTGGAACAAGAAGCAAGGGACCCATGCAGCGCCCACTCTTACTAGAGGGTATGGTGACCCTTCGGCAAGGGAGTCCAGGAGGGAATCCAGTTCTTCCCCAATGATGTCCCCATCTGTGAAGTCCTCCACGCTCTCAGGCACTGGCAGGGACACGCAGTCTGGAGATGGGAGCAAGCTGGCAGCAGGGAGCGAGGTCGGCAAGCCCTTTGCATCTGAGTCAGAGGGCAAAGGGGCCAGCTCCTCGCTCACAGGGATGGAGGTTGCCACAGGAGCTTGGAGGCACTGCAGGTCCATAGAGCAGTCTGTGATGAGGGAGAAACAGAGCCAGTCAGCCAGGAGAGCCTCTTGCAGGGGCAAGCAGAGCACAGCCTGGCAAAACCAATATTGTACAACTCCATCAAATCACAAACAACAATTATGCCAATTTTCTGGGAGGAGGGGCTCTGGTCTGAAGAGTTCTTGCCCTTTGATCTTTGTTCCCAGTCTCCAGTGGCTCACCAATAGCTGAAATATGCTCTAAGGGCCAGTGCCCACACTGACTGGCAGGATTTAGCAAGCCTGTACAGTAACCAGGAACAACACAAACCCTGTGGCTGAGCAGTTCCTGAATTCACTGTGGCCAGGACTAAAGGCCAGGGGCACATAATCCAATTTCTGTATAACCCACTACCTGGTGTTCTCTTTAATGCTCCTCACTAATGCATCTGGCTGAGATCACTGCCTGCTCTACTTCTTGGAGCTTCGATATCACAGACAAAAGATGGCTTACTTGCACACCCTCTCTAAAACCTCAGGCATCCTAAATGGCAGAAGATAAAAACCACAAGGCCCTGCTGGGAAGAGAGTCAGATATTGGATGCTCAGATCAGGGTTGTACTAACAATGTGCCCCCCAAAAATCCCATCAGACTCACTCAGCTGTCCTTACCCAAGTAAATTCCCTGCTCTTAAGTGTTTCCTGGTGTCTGCAGGTGTGAGGCTGCTGCCCGTGCTCCCCCTCAGCACCTCAGCAGCAAACATCCCCTCAGGAACTTGTGTGAGCCAGGGTTGGGGCAGAAGAGAGGCAGCGATTTTTCCTAAGGCTTCCCTGCCTCTCCAGTACGTTACTGAAACAGTAAGATGTTCCCATCATGCAATATAAACCTCTGTTAAGTGAAGTTAAGGTTACAAGCACATATTCTTCACAGAAGAGCATTTTATTCTAAAAAAAAAAAAAAGGTTAAAAAAAACCCATTTAAATGTTAGAAATTCAGAAAATGCAGCGTTACATTTGCAGTTCTCAAACCAAGCACCCAAACTACCTTAATTCTGCCCCTGTGCAGATGTCCTGGAATAAAAGAAAAGAAGTAAGACAAAGATGCTACTTTCTCCATCCACATAGCAGTGGCTGCACTGTAGTTACAAGTAGGCTATAAGCAAGGCAAAGCTTGGAAGGGGAGACAATAGCTTTTATTAGAAAGACTGATAAGAATGGGAAAGAAACTAGACAAGCTTCCAAGACACATATCTTGATCCAGCAAGAAATGCTGCATCCTGTCTGTACAAGCTCTGCTCACTCAGCCCCCATGAGAACTCAGCCATTCCTTTCTAGCTGGGACTGGGCGAATGAGCCATGCTGCTATCCTCTACGCTGCATGTTTATGGACCGAGGACTGTGTTGGTGCCCTTCTTAAAGAGCTCAGCAAATCAGCAACTCCTGCAAGCCCTCAAGTCCTCAACAAATTAACAGCAGAGATGACACACACATTGAGGCCCCTTTGTCTCTAACCCCACCAGGAGCACACCACCACCTTCTGCAACCCTTCCTCTGGCATTTGCTGAGTGGTCCACATGGATGGACCACAGCCGAGGTCACTGTGCAAGGCACTGGAGGCTGAGCTGTGATGAAAGGCAGGGAAAGCAGGGGGAAGCAGCAAGGGACAGACTCAGGTCCCTCTCCACAACCTCATGCGTGTGATCAAAGGCAAGCGCATGTTGTACCTTATGGGATCCAACACAGGTATTCAGGGCTGCAGCTGGACACATTCCCCACAGGCAGTGGCTCAAAGGAAGGCTGTAAATGTCCTTAGTTTTGCAGGTCCCCCTCAGATCAGGCTTGGCTCCAACCCCATGCCCCCTTTGCAATGATTTCTCTCAGCTCATCTCCTTTTGGCACGGGCCCCTCAGCTGCACCTGGGAGTCAGCCATCCAACTTCCCTTGGTGCTGGCCTCATCACTGGTAGCTTGGCCAGATTTCCCTCAGTACAAAAGGACGGCTTGTGCCTTCCCATTTTTCAGATGTTTAGATCTGGAGTACTGTCAAGATCCCTCCAGGGGCCAACAAGAAGTTCAGGACAAGCTGGAAGGGCTGGGACACGTGCAGGGGGGAGCAGAAGGGTTCACAATGACAGGGCCCCAAAAGATCCAGAAGTTCAGACCTTCTCTGAGGAATGAAAGAGGCCCTCCAGTTTCCACGCAGACTGGGAAGCAGAGCAAAGAGGCCCTCACACATCCTACTTGGCCCCAAACCCTGAAAAGCTGAACACATGACCAAAAGACAGAGAACAATGTGGGAACCCCCACAGTTCAGTGCATGTGAAGGGAGAGAAGAGCAGGGACCAACAGGTTCCACTACTTGCAAGGGGCAGAGGGGAGATGTCTGCTCCCCTCTCCCTGACCACCCAAACCCTGTCATTCCTTCAGCCACTTCCTTCTGTTCCCCTCTGTCCAATCGTTTCCCCTATCCCCCCTTTCCCATTCCTTCTTTCCTCAGGACATCCCATCTGCTGACCTTACTCACCAGCCACCACACCCACATCTCATGTGCTTTCCTTCCAGAAAGCTCATGCACCTCCTGCAATCACCTAGTATTTGCTTCATCTTAAAAAAAATAAAACAGCCTTCTTTGAGGAGTGCATCACAGGCACACACCTGCCTCCCTCTGATTTCTGCCACTGTCATGACACTAAGCCCCATGTATTATTATTATAAACTCAGTGAGGGTCTTGTCCAACCACTCCCCCAAACCAAGTCTCTCATGCCATGCCCCACACCTGGTAGCTTCTCTGGACATACACCTGCCTGTCCCAGAGGGGCAAGTACAGTGCTTTTAAAAGCCCCTGTTTCTAGCTCTGTTTCCCAAAACAGCAGTGGTTCCCTAGTGCATTAGATGGCCAAAGGCCATACTGAGCCAGATCTGAGCCCTGATCCGTGCAGGGCAGGGCTGCATTAACCAGATGAGTTCAAGCAAAACATGGGGGAAGGGGCTTCAGGAGTTTGCATCTTAGAAACAAAATAAAACAATAACAACAAAAAAACCCCACCTTGCTAAAAAAGCTTTGAAACTCTCAAGGTACCCAGCATGCTCAGCCCTCCTGGTGGCACATCACTCTCAGGGCAATGGGATAGCATGTAATTTCAGTGCTTTTGAAAAGATTTCCTAGCAGTAAACATTCTCTCTGTCTGAACTGCAGCAAAGATAGTATGCTGCTCTTACACCAAATGCTGATGAGATAAAGAGCTTACTGGATGCAGTCAATCTTTACTCTGCAGTAGGAGTCCGGTGCATTTTAGCACAGCAAGACAACATGAAAAACTCTCCATAATTCGCAGAACTGGGTCTAATGATTGCACGTAGCATTCTGAACTGGCATTCAACAGAGAACTAACATGTTTTCCAAAGTACCCTAATAATGAAATTAGTTTCTTTCTATAAAAAGAGCAATTGCTACTTGCAGTGGTAAGTCTTCACACTTACCTTCACACACACAGCTACCTTTCAAAGAAACAAAGACTGATGTGCTCAGAGGCACGAGTTCAATGCTCCAGCACACAACAAAGGGCAAAGCATGTAGCGAGCCTTTCTACAGGGGCAGAGTTAAGGTCACTTGTTTCCCAGCATGAGAAAAGCAACCCTGTAGCCCTTCTTCTGCTCCTTCTGGGTGCCTAACCCTGAACATGGCTCTCCCTGGGTCCCTCCCAACTCCCTTTGTTTTCATTTCCTCCGCCTCAATGTCTCGGAGGACCATACGCACTCAAAGCACAAACAGCAACCTACAACCTTAACTTCACTTTATCAGGACTGTTTTGGCCAGGAGCAGAGTTTCTGAAGCTTTGCCAAGCCCAGCTTTAAGAAAGCACAACTGCAGAGAGCTGTGTACCTCAGCAGACCCTTCTAATTTCCCAGATGTGTCTCTCACTGGGCCCTGACAATAAGCTTTTCTGCAGGAAAAAACACTCCTGCTTCCCACCATCTTTTCCTTCTCCTAGTTACCAAAGCCGGGAGCTCACAGAAGAGACACAAATGAAGATGATGAACCTCTCAGGCCTGCCAGCCTGGTTAGATACCTTACCGAAGCCACAAAAATCAGAGGAGACAGATGTCTTTACCTGTTTCGATGTCATCTATCGAACCCAATCCATTGGAAGTGGTCTGCAAAGAGGGTGTAAGAAAGGGGGAAGAAAAATATCACTAGAAATTAATCATTAAATAGATATTCACACTTCACAGATAAGACTCTTTACTACTCCTAAATTCATCTGGCCCTTTCTTTTGTTTTATGGCCTCTTTCAGTCCAAGAGCAGTAAACCCAACAAACTTTAAGAGGTCATTAATCCAAAGAGCCTATCATATTTTACCTCCAGCAGTGGACAAACCCTGCTGCTGCAAAAGAATACCAGCCCTGCACAATATCCAACCATGTGAGCAAATCTGTACATAGAATAGGATTCTTCAGATGTGGATGAGAACGCTGTGTCCCAAGTCTCAGGACACATCAATCAGTCAGCCCCATGCACTGTGAGATCTGATTAGCCTGATCTTACACAACGTTCCTTTTCTTAGTTCGCATATTTTGCAATCTACCAACCACAAACTTTTACAGCAAACTCAAAACAGGAAAACGTTTCCGCCAAGACAACTGCTGACTTGGAGCTCCAGGAAAGGAATAAAATGAGCCCATATTTTACAGAAACATAAACAAAGGTAAGCACATGTGCCTTCAGCTTAAGCTTAAAAAGGCACAAGGTAAAGCATTTCTCTTGAGATGCTGCATCTACTGCAATAGTTTTTGCAACTTCTAGTTTTTGCATTATTTCCATTTCTTGCAAAAGGGAAGATTTTAAAATTAAAAACTAGGCACAATTATTAAAGAAAGCTGGCTGGCTTTCCTAGAAAGATGTGAAGGCAAGTCACTGAACAGTGCAAGGTAAACTAATTCTTTAGTACCCATCTTGTACAAAATGACAATTTTTATGGTTTTATAGTTTATTTGCTTTAAGGAGTAGCGTGAAGTACCAAATAGCCTGTAAAAACATCAAGCATTTGGAGGTTTTTTTGCTCAGTGGTAGAACAAGGAAATCAGCAATTTCTTGTATTTTAGCTTAGTATTTGTACAGTGCCCTGCCCAAGCTGGATCTCCCAGGTGACTGGACAATACAAAGACCATATAAACTTTGTAGATACCTCGCTCAGTACATTGCATGATTTAATTTTGTATGTTTCTTCAGCAGTTGCACTTTCTGACTTTTACTTAGCATTGCCCTAGCTATGTAAAAACTTGAAAACTAAAACTTATTTAAAATACAAGAGAAAGCAAACATTCACAATAACTAAGAAAAATAACCACCTTCAGTCATCTAATTACTGACATCAAAAACGTTCTCAGTAGAAATATTTTCAAATACATTTATATCATTGGCAATATTCCTTAAAAGAGGAAAACACTAATTAATACATTTAAACCCTAAAAGACAGTTATAAATTTGCATGTAAATAAAACTGTGAAGCATTCTAGTAGCACAATCCATGAACAATAACAACCACAGGATGCAAACTCTACCTGGTTTGACAAATTGATTGATGTGCCATTACTGAGTAGCGAAAATGTTTCCAACTCCTGCTGCAAGGAAGAGACAGGTCTTAGAACAGAGACAGCCCATGAATGCTCATAAACTGGGTAAAGCTGAGTTACAATACAGTATTATTAATTAAATAAAAGCCACCCCAAAACGTATACCACTGTGACACAAGGGTACAGCTTTCTGAACACTGAAAGGGCCATATATTTGTTTTGGACACCTCAGTGCAAAACACCCAATGTCCAACACACAATCAGGAAGGAAAAAACTTCCCTGAGGAACAGAAGTTTTTGTCTTTTCATTAAGAAATTACTACTTCGGGAAGGCATTACAGGACTGGAATGAAAGCTGGAAGTCAACACAAGAGACAGCAGGGTGTTATCAAAATACCGACCACTAAATTTCAAATAATAAAAAGCATTTTGGAGTTTTTCATTTCTATTTTTCTAACATACAGGTGGTTTAAGCCCATCACAGCTGAGTAACATGACAGCAGCAAAAAGGTGGCAAGGCCAGTGAGCAGCTACAAAAAGTATTTCTGCGTAAAACTTCCCTTTCTTTGAGGCAGAATCATTTTGGACTGTTGAGAGCTGCTACAATGTCAAGGGTTTTTTTGGGGTAGGCCAATCACTTGTGAGAACAGTCAGGGAAAGGACTAAGATGCTACAGCCAAATTTACCCCAAAAGCTCTCTTCAAACTGGATTCCCACCAATCACTTCACCTGCAGAGGTGCCCCCCTGGAGATGGAACATGCTGGCTGTCTAACACAGCACTGCGCATGGCGCTGAGGATGCAAATGCAAACAGAAGCCTCAACTAATGTTCCCTACTCCCGAAAACGCATCCTGGGATTTCACATCACCACAGCAGCTTTATCCAAGAGTGCTGGCAGTGGCCTAACGCCCTCTAGCCCAACCCCACGGTATACATTTAAACGTCAACAGTACTCCAGTTACTGCAGCACTTTCTTGTAGAGCCAGGTTACAGATCCAGCCACTGGTGTCAATTGGACCCACCACCCACTTTTTGCTGCCTTCCTTCCTAGCATCTGACCAGATGTGTACCTGTTGTTCTCACCAAGTTCAGGCCCTTCCCCAGCCACAAAGAAGGTGTATGCCTAGATACATGAAGGGCAAGAACCCTTCATGACCCACTGCACTACAAAACCAGCCATGTCTTCAAAGCAGCAAAGGACCCCAGCCTTCTCATCCCCTAACAGGGAAAGGACTGTGATGCAAAATCTCCTTTGAGATCAGGCCACGTGTCCCTCTCCTCCAAAAAACACAGGTTCCCAGTGCATCCGAGGCCTCTCCAGCAGCACCAGCCTGGCTCTGCCTGGCTTAGCTGGGGACTCAGGAAACTTCCTGGCAGTAGACACAGAGCAGCAATGGGGTTAGAAATGGAACAAGGCAAAGTGAGTCAGAGGGTCAGGACAAGGAGGGTAGCCAGCAGCCTGCTAGAGGGGTTAGAGGGTAGTATATGTGTGTCTACAGCTGCAGAGCAGCACCTACTTTTGCAAGAGTAAATCTGAAAGAGCCAAAAGAGAGCCTCTAGGAAAAAAGAAGTCATACCTGAGGTCTTTTGTATGCTTTTCGAACCCTCAGTCCCAGCTTCTGGGCAAGCTCCTGTCCCAGTTGCGTGACGCTTTCATCCTGGGGACAAAACCATTGGCAGGACACTTTCAGTCTTGCCATTGTGGCACACACAATGAAATAAACAGGAATGCAGTTATCTGCACTGGGCTGCGCCAAGAAGCCTCACATGGAGACAGCAGCAGGGGGACAACTGCCAGAGCAGCCCTAGGAGAGTCCGTGCAGACCTGAGGGCTCTTGTCTTTCAGTCCTGCTGAGATACTGAGGTTACACCAAGAGCTCTCCCTTACACTCTTCCAATGCTGCAGAAAATCAGAATCAAATGTCCACTTCCAAGAAAGGATGCGCTCTCCAAAAGCAGGATTCATGAGTCCTGCTAGCAAGATGGCTGGAAGGGCTGCCAAGGCTGGCTGCTGGGGGGCTGATACAGCTTCCACAGGGTCCCCACATCTGGGAAGAAGCCTGCATGCCTTCCCCTTTTGCCAGCAGTTAATAATCAGTTTTGATATACAGACAGTATTCACTAGCCTGTTTTGCTTGGTTTTTTGTTTTTAAAGCTGAAACCAAGTCTCAGTTTCCAACTTACTAGCTACAAGGCATTTTCATAGTCTTTGGCTCTGAGTAAACTGCCTCAGATTAGTCAAGCAATCCTTCCGCTTTCCCTGCTGTGTGCCACTTACCATCCTCCCTGCTCACTGTCCATACCCACTCATACACCGCCGTGGCCCATGCTCCACTCCCTCAATCCATCCTCTCCAGTTCTGCCTGGACTAACAACCTGCCACAACCTTCTTCACTTATTTATCACTAGCAACTCTTTTCTTCTCTGCTTTCCTCTCCTTGTTTACAAAAATATTGGAATACTTTTAGATTCTTCAAAGAAGAAGAAAATATCTGCCCAACCTACTGTGACATTTCTCCTTAAGGTCCCAAGGTCTCCTCCCTGTCTCCAGCCCTGAAGCTTGCTCTCTTCTCTATTTGCTATACTGGTCTTTCCAACCTCCTTCTCCCTGCAGGTTCATTCTTTCCCTCTCAACCCCTCACTAGCCTCTGCTTCTTCCAGTTCACAGTATCAGTAACTTTTCCCTTCAATTTGGAGTGCCACTTTTGACTGTACGTGTTCCCCGACACCCTCAACACTGGTCTTGTCACCATCTTCTCTGAACTCAGTGAAGACAAAAATCATTCTTGTCCATTTCCTCTTCTCTCCTCCTCTGACACCCCTTCAGGACGTACCTTCTTCTGAAACTGTCCCCGTACCCTCCAGAAACCTCTTCTTGGTCAAATCTCATGGTCTCTGCTCCGTCCTCACTCTCTTCCACTTCTCAGATCTTTCTAGCACCAAACAAGTCTTCACTGCTCTGTTTGCCTTTGCTGACTCTGCCTTTCCAAACACTCCCTCAGATGTCTTCCAAAGTCTGACATTCTCTTGCTCCCTGTGGAAAACTCACCAGAAAGACCTCTGATGTAATTTCTTTTCATTGATCCCATACTCATATCTACCAGGTTTACCCTATCCAACCCCACATGCCAATGTAACTCTGAGATGTCTTATCAGATTCCTGGACAAGATGAAGAATGTATTTCTCTGTAGACTGTCTCCACTTCTCAATAACACATAGTTAATAATTGTCCTTTTTGTCAGCAGGCCTGAGGTTTGGGGGTGAGGAGTTATTTGCTCTTTGCCATCCCTCAACATTTTCCTTTAGCTTTCCCTTCCCTCAGCTAAATGACACTCTCAGGTGCTTACCTCTGCCTAAATGACAGGATGCTCAATAAAGGACATGCAATATGCTCTCCTCCAACACCCTAAAAAAGCCCCATGCTGTATCAAAAAAAACATACCAGAGAAGCACCAACTTCACTATGCCAGAAACCTTTGTAAACTAGCAGCACTGAGTATCTGCACCCAGAAACAAGTCAACTCTGCTAGACAGAGTCAACTGAGTGGCAGATCCTTCATCACCGGAAGTTTTAATACATGCTCTTATTTGACCACAATAAAGTTCTCACCTGTTACAGCAATGCAAGCTGGAAGTACCCGTGTGCTCCAGAGATGTAATGGAAACAAGAGAGGATGGATAGCATGACTTGCCTTTGATACAGAGAAGGCTTATGATTTCCGTTAATCGGGTAATAAAGCGATGGGCTATGTTAATTTACAAGATCGAATTGTTTAGAATAGGGAATGCAGATCACTTGATATGGAGTTTGTAAGGCTGAATTTACCTGCCACAGACAAGTCTGATAAAGTGTTTGTAGACCACGGTGATTGTAATGATGACAATGGGAGATATGTAAACATAAACCAGGTTGGATGGGGCTTTGAGCAACCTGATCCAGTGGAAGGTGTCCCTGCCCATGGCAGTCAGGTTGGAACTAGATGATCTTTAAGGTCCTTTCCAACCCAAACCATTCTATGATATCATTAAAAAATAAATTCAATTAAGTGGCTCGACTGCAGTGTGAAATATAGCCAGATATGGCTTTACATGAACACATGTATTCGATGGTTTTACTTATAAAAGGGTTTCTTTAAAAAACGGTTCTTTCGAAGTCCTCTAACATGATACCTTTAATATGTGTTTCTCGGCCTGTTCTGCTAAGTAAAAGAAACTAGAATTTACAAGCTATACAGAAGGAATAACTAACTGCTAACAAGGCTGTCAAAGATTGATTCTGTAACACTACTAATAAAGGAAAGTTAACTTCTCCTGCTGAAGTAGATGCATTTTTCTTCTTATAACATTACTGGGATGGATCAGAACCAAATTTAGCAAAGACCACCAGTGATCCCTTGAATTTATCTAATCACGGTCTGGTTTCCCGTTCAATATATGGCTTAAAAGGACACTCAACAAAAGCACTGTCAGGAAAATATCTATGGCCTAATATATGCAGATAGTCATCTGAATGCAAAAATTTACGTACCCGTGAACATAAAAATAGCTATGACATGTGATGTCAAGGACACCTTTCCATGTCCCTCAAGAAATAAAAAGCTTTATCAGCTTGCTTAGCAATCAGTAAGTAAACCATGAGACATTTTACCTCAAACAGGAAAAGTATACATTTTCCTTCCAGTGTTTCAGCTCCCATTTGTCCCATACTCCTAGTCACTCCCATTAGACATATAAAATCAGCTAATTAAAACAATCTCATGGTCTTAGTTCACATTTTGTTAGGATAGGGTCTTGCTCTTCACAAATAGACCACCAAACCCGCTATCACTAAGTGGTGTCTCTGGCTGGCACTATCTATAGAAGGTGACTTGGACTGAAAAAAACATGGGAGGTCAAACATCTCCAAGTCAGAGAGACAGTAGTTCTGGGCAGAAGCATGTTCCCAAGAACAGCCAAGCTTCCTCATCCACTATCCCCTGGCCTCACACTAAGCATGTTGCGGAGGAGGAAGGTGGTGAGCCACAAAAATCGAGATGAGCTGTATGTCAAAAACTTACATGTGGGAGGGACAGCAAGCATCGGCTATTGCACTCATATGCTTCCTTGTGTCTTCCAAGTTCATTTAAGGAGCGGGCTTTCCGGAAGAGTGCTCGGATGTTCTCCTTATCAAGACTTAAAGCCTTCTCACTGTCTTCCAGTGCCTTCTCATACAACCCCTGCATGGAAGAGACCACCTTGAGTCAGCTGAGGCACAGCAGACTAACCTCTCCTTCCGTGTGAATGTAGACGCCTTATCTCTCAGCAGAAAATAGGAATAAAGAAGGCAGTTGGAAATACACACATTACCTCATACATAGACCAGCGTACAACACATAAAACCTACCGTAATAGAACATTTTGTTAAGTCTTGTAAAACTCAAAGCACTTCAGAGTCAGTGAATGACAGAATTAAGGCTGCTTGAACAACCTTATCTTGTCTCCTCCTCTACCTTGGGCATGTTACATTTGACAGTCTTTAATTATGTGACTGCTTACTAATTTTTTTGTGGGACTCCACCTCATTATGAACAAGATGGACCTGCTCTGGGGTTGTCCCATAAAGGAAAGCTGTTAGATTCCTTAGGAAAGTGGAAGCACGCAGCCTTTTAGAGCCTGAGTATTTCAGAATCCTTTTCTATGTGTGTGCTGAAAGTTCTGCCAAGACCTAAAGCTTTCTCACTGTGTTCCAGTGCCTCACTTGAGGAGGCAGGAGCCTCCAGAGCAATATTCAAACAATATTCCAGAGAAATACTCAGTCAGTTCTGGAAGGCACTGGATTGTACTAACTCTTCACCAACATGGACCAGAACTGCACTGTCAATACCTTAGGCCTGGCACCCTCTCCTTCACACCCTTCCTCTGGTCTTGCAAGACACAGTGTGACAGTAGGGAGATATGAGAGTTTTCTGTGTGTCACCATCTCCTCCAGTGTTGGAACAGGGAGTGGACAAAACCAACTGAAAACCCTCTTGACTTCTCTACCAATTGCATGGCACTGCAACCATGATGTCCTCCCTGGCCCTTGGGGGGATGACTTGGGAAGGCACTCACCATGGCAAAGTAGCAGGCAGCTCGGTTGACATGCAGCTTGCACAGGAGTTCCGTCGGGATGGTCACCTCGTCAGAGGCTGCGTAATCTGCCACGTTTAGCCCTTCTACATACTGTACCAGCGAAAGCTTGAAATCCTTCTCTCGAAACAAATCATTGCCCTCTGCAAACAGGTTTCTCACCAGCTTCTGCAAAAAGGCCTGGGCAGCAGGGAGAGAGCAAATAGACTTAAGTGGATATTCAGAAACAGGAGAGATTTCCCAATTTCCCATTCCTTTCTGTATGTTTTAGCAAACTTCCTGCCCTCTAAGATTCTCCTGCCTCCCCACCCTCCTGTAAAACACCAGTCTCTTGACAGAAGAGAATAATCCAGTCAAATCTCCTTTCTTCTTGAACACTCAAGCGACTTCTCCTTTCCCTGAAAGTTGACACTGTCAGAACCTTACAACTTTAAGTTACAGACAGACTGTGACAGACCATCCCATGCTCTCCACTTTTGGTATGTTAACTAATGGCTGTGCAACAGAACAAATCTTGCTAACCAGAGGGTTCCCAACTTCAGAAAACAGACTCTTCATTACCTCATAATCTTCTTGGCTTAGGGGTAACGTGGACCTGAAAAAAAAGAAGATAAAATGCTCATGAAACAGGCATCTAAGCAAACAAGGGCTTCTGTCTGTTGAAGAAATCATCTTTCTGGTCCTGTGTTGATGATCTCAGTGATTTACTGAAGATTTTATCACTTCAAAGGCAGCTGGGACAAAGAGAACACAATTAGGAAACATAATGCTCAGTGATGGCCACAGCAGTGTCAAGAATTTGGTCAGGTCCCAAAGGGATTTGAGACTAGAGGAATATTATTCTCAGCTGTTTTCTGCACATACATGATCCTTTGTAACGTGCCTTCAGACAGCCACCTAAAAAAACCCATCTTTGAGAAAGTCCCAGGAGAGACTGTCATGGAGAATACAAGCGTATTTTAAGTGCATCTGGCTCTAATAAGAAGCACCAGACCAGCACTTCAAGACCTCCTCAAATCCTCTGTGAGACCAAAGACATACAGTGATAAATGCAATCACTTTCTTCATTAACTTAGTCGCATGCCTTTAGGCCTACACCACAAAAGGAAGGGAGAAAACAATGAAGGTTCCAGAGGCCATTTAGCTCCAGTCCTCTTGGCTGCCAGGCCCTGCCACAAAACTGGCAGTGCCTATGTGGATAACACCTCCCCCACAACAGCACTGAGACTCTGGAGAATGGTTCCGTTCTTCAAATTGGACCATCCAAGTCATCCAGGCTTGGTCTGCATGTATTTATTTTTTCTGTTCTGGAAGAATAGGTTCTAGAGAAATCCTTAGCAGCTTTCATAGTCCTCCTCACCTTTGAAAAGCAACACTATATACATGATCTTATTAGTCAGAGAATAAACTTTTTTTAGATTTCATCTAATCTAATCATCATCTGCTCCTTATAATTAACTACAGGAAATGCCATGGCTCTGTAAGAAACATTAACTCTGCTTACAAAATTGGAGTACCCATCTTCCACATCAAAACAAGCCAACAAATGACAGTGTCCCCGGTTCAGAGTTCAATATACACTCCACACGCATGAACAACACCCTGTATTTCTAAATTATTTCCTTTCCAGGAATCTTACATGTTTTACAAATGTTACCAAAATAAACCTCACAATTACTTATCTGAAACTGGGTTATTAGCCACATATAGTCTCAGAGTGGGGAAAAAATCACTGCCATGCCACAGGATATAAATATAAAACATGGAAGATTTGGCTTTTTTTCCTACGTAGATGCACAGATTACAGCCATAGTAACTGCAGGGCTCAAAGCAGACCTTAAAAAAACCCTAAACCAATCTGATTATCATCTTGCTACTTCCTTGCTCACCGTGGAACCTGGACCTGCGTCTGAGGCCTTTGTTAACTCAAACCTTGGAGCGAAAAAACACTATTTTACTTTATAAGGAAGTACTTGGACTTATAACCACCTCAAGCTCTAGAAGGCCACATGATATTCACAGAAGAGTGACCGAAGGCACCTACCAGGTTGGCAACTGTAAAAGAGCCCAGGTCAACTATTTCTCCTATAGGCACCATAGGGGGTACCTGGAAAGTCATTTACCTTGCTTTCCTCACCTACAAAATAGAGACACTATCTCCCTTTCTAAGAACAGTGGGATAACCTTGCTGAGAGAGCACTTTGAGATCTTCACACTGAAGATGAAGTAGAATGTCCAAGTACTATTAGCATTTTGTTGACTATAAAGATCATCCTGGAACTGCAGTGGAAGGCAAAACCCAAGGAAATTAAAATGTAGAATTTCAAGTTTAGAGAGCTGGCAGGACAAGAAGCACCCTAAAGAAGCACAGTGAAAATCCTCAGGGTCAATATCTCTTTCCCATGCAGCAGACCCAAAGAGGTGAATAGGAAGAACTCCGTTCCTGCAATTCTCGATACGAAGACAACCACCTCCAAAGCCACAACAAACAATGAGGTTGTCCACTTACTGGATGAACTGAAGTCCTTTCTCTATTTCTTGTTTTCTCTTCTGTCTCTCCATTATAGTTGCTGCAGAGGAAGAAGAGAAAGAAACAACACAAAATGAGTCATTTTAGGTCTTGCTGGCACAGTATTTTGTGTGCGCCTGAATTTACTACTAACAAAATGTTCCAGACCAGATGCCCAGAACACTAAAATCCATGAATTACCCACACTGCAGATACAGAACTGCAAGCAGCTCACTATCAAGTATCTGGTTTTTCTCACATGCCACTGTTAGGATACATGGGCAAAGAAGAATTACTTAAATTTCAGCTCGCTACTTAGGCTGCCAGTAAATAAAGCAACGGAAACCAACTGCTATCATGACTGCCTTCTAGGAAAGGAAAAAAAAAAACAGAACAAAACAACAAACCAAACAAAAATCAACATTTCCCCTGCACTGGCAGTCATTTTAAGAATCTGTGTTGGGACTCTCCCATGATAAGCAATTCTGACCACTGTTTATCTGGGCCAGACTTCAACTGGCTTACCGCACAGCATATAAAACAAGTAATCTATGTGAGGTGTATGGAGGCAAATCACAAAGAGATGAGAAGGAAGGAGATGTAACTGCTTGTTGTGGTCCACATAAAAGGGCAGCGATGAATCTAGGCAATGGGAATTTTGTGCTGAAAATCATCAGGTTCCTTTGAAGAGGGAACAGGGCCCCATCCTGAAGTGTTTTAAATTTGGGTGTGCAGTGCCTGAGGGAAGGCTCAAGGGTCTTATCCCCACTTAGTTGGGGACACAAATGAGCACAGTAACTTGTCTGGATTAGACCAAATCCAGTCTGGATCTATGCAAGCACAGACAAATAAGTAGTATGATGGAGCCATTTTGGAGTAATGTCCCTTTTCTCAACTAAAATGGGCTTGAATCACACTGTTAAGATACATGAGCTTCATTCCCCGAAGCTGGGAAGCAAATCTTGGAATGGCTACTCCCTGACCTCTCCCCAAGGTACACAGGTCTGCCACACAAGAGAAGAATAAAAAAGGGGACAAGAGATGGCACTTTGTAGCAAAAGAGAGTTGCTGGTGACAGCGAATTTCCCAACCTTGCCATCAACCAGCTGTGATCATGAACAGTGATCAGCATTTGAGGGATGGTACTGAGATGAGATGAGATGAGATGAGATGAGATGATGAGATGAGGATGAGATGAGATGGAGCTGAAGACACCATGTCCTCCCAGCCTGTGATCACCTCTGAAGAGATCATGAGAAAAACAAAAGCCATTTCTCTAACTGTACACTACAACATCTTGGAGAGCATTATTGCCCAGCTCCCTTTTACATCAAGACCATCCCTATCATTCTAAGATATTTTACAGTATCTATGGCACATTCAGTCTGAACAGGGTGAAGGGACCTTTAAGGTACATGAAAATTAATCCTGACAACTCAGCAAGCCCTTATTGATTGTGCGTTTTGCCATGCAAAATGTAGAAAAATTGATACCTGCCCTTTACCAAGAAGAAGAGTTGGGTAAAGGGGGAGAGACAGGAGCAAGAGAAACACCAGAAAGAAGTGGAAACAGAAGGAAGCAAGAGCTTGAAAGTGACACTGTGCAGTTTGTAAGTCATCAGACATTAAATACGAGAGCAATCTGGTCTGAGCAGCAGGTAGATTTTAAGCAGCTGCATTTGGAACTGGATGGGCAACACAGTAAGAAAGGGAAAGCCAAGAGACAAGGTGAGCAATGATCGGCATGTCTACAAAGGCTTTTAACAGAACCAATGGAGAACAAATGCTTTTAACAGGGGTGATAGAGAAGAGCTGGTAGACTTCAGTACACCACCAACAGAAGGCCTGGAATGATTTATAAATAGCTTGCATAATGAGCAATCAGGAAGAAAGAAGGATATTTAACAAGGAGACTGTGAGGTTAATATGATCACTAACACTACAGACACACAGGCTTGAGGGGTAGAAAAAGAGACAGAGGCAATTCATCTGATATTTCTCCTTGTATGAAATTCTGTAAAGACAGAATTACAAGAAAACAGACATGGTGAAGAGAAGCAGTAAGAACCATTTCCACATAGACAGCAGTGAAGGCCACGAAAGAGGACAGAGCAATCCCAGAGCAGTGCAGAACAGCAAGGGTCATCAGAGACAAGGGTGGGGAAAGAGCCACCACAGGAAATTAAAGAGATAAACTGGGGAGGGGAATGAGACACAACACACATGACAAAAGAGTCAAGTGGACTCTCACAAAGTCTCACAAGGGCTCATGGGGGAAAGCACAGGGAGGAAGGAGGAATTTCTAGCTGTTTGGTCCTCAAGTGCACTAACAGGCTTGAAATGCCCCAAACAGCTTCACCTTGGACCCACACCCACACACCCTCTGCCCATGGTCCAGGAGCTCCATTTCAGCTCAGGTCCAGGCATCCTGTCTTATCTGAGCTGTACTGTAGATGGACCTCTCCTCAATCCTATCTCTTGCACAAACCTTGGACCGACACCGAAGGCAGCTTGTCTCCAGTCCTGTCTCTGGCACCATCTCCTACTGCTGGATTTGCTGGGTGGACCCTGGACCCAATTCACCACCTCATCTTCTTTGGGACTGTTGATGGACCTCTGCTATCAGCATCTCGTTCTGTCTGTGCTGTTCAGATATGGTGGGACTGTACCCTAGTTAGGACACTGCTGGTGGCTGTCATCACCTTTGGCTCCTAGCTTGTCCTCCCTGAAGGAGCAGCCCTGCTCTTGCTTCTCCCTACCATGGCTCATGTGACAGAGAACAAAAGTCAAGGAAGTGAAGCAGCAGCCCATGGATCTGATGAAAAAGGAGATTATTGGCAACAGTGGGGAGAACAGTTGAACACTGACTGGTCATCACAAAGTCAGTGGCTGCACTCCAAAAATGCTGTGGCACACCTTCACAATTGTGTATATCCTCAAAACAGATTATCACCTTGAAAAGCTTCTGATAAGCACAGCCTACATCAACCTCTGCTTCTGAGCTCAGCTTTTAACACACTACTGCATGGACTGAAGAAGAGATCAGTACCTGTTCTCATGGCAGCCCGGGCCTCCCTGCTAAAACATCCTACACAGTAGGATGCTGGTGTGTTACAAGAACTGGTTACTGTTGCTTGCCCACACTGAAGGGCATTCAAACACTAATGACCAAAAGCTGGAGTGGAGTCAAAGGACTACACAGAAAGGCTCCAGAATGTCTCCTTCCTAGAGTTATCCAACTCCTCTCGCATTATACAGCTCCCCTTCTGTTTTTATTCTCCTCACCACCACTGCCACCATATCCATCATGCGTACCTCCATCCTTGCTTCATGTGGATGGCTGACAAACCAACTGCATCTCTGCAAGTCCCACAACAGCCAGCTACAGTCTTGATCCTTGTTACAAAACCCTTATTAAAAAAAAAAAAAAAAACCTCTGTGCCCTGCATACTGTTTACACTCTGTAGTCCTACCCCCATCTACCACAATGAACGTTCTCCAACGCAAGACCCTCCACTGCCTTCTTTAGACATAAACCTTCCAGACTGTTGCTCCCTGATACGGCCCCACATTCCTCTCTCCTTGCAAGTGGGTGACCAGCTTCCTCTGCTGAAGTTCCATCACGCCTTTAGGCTTATGTCATGACTTTGCACGTAAGACTCATCTTCTTATGGCAACACCTCAAAACACACGCCACATGCTGCTGCCCTAACAACTTCTTTCACATCTCTTGGGAACAACCACCTTTCCTTTTCAATCTGACTCCAGACCAGCACCCTCCTCCATGCATGGCAGACCTCTCCCCTCTCCATCCTGCCCCACCACTGACGAAGGCTACCATTCAGGCTCCTCCATTTGCTCCTCACACCTCCTCTCCTGCCACCTCCCAGGAAAACTCAGTCGCTTCTGTCTCCTTTTGTCATTCCAGCCTCTTCAGCGTATCTCATTCGACTGGACCAAGGTGCACACTTGTTATGCTGGCAAACCCAACACACAGCAAGCTACCCATACATGCAACACTTCAGTTCTCCTGCACACCATACCACGGCTGATGCATAATTAATTATAAGCACAGAGCCTGTTTAGTTTTTGTTTTCTTGGTCTTTTAAATATTTTTAGAAACACAGCGGAAAACATTTCATGAAGCAGTGTGCCTAAGAGTCCTTTTCCTCTCCCCCCACCAAATCTGTCTGTCCAGACTTGTCTGATCAAATCACCAGCAGAATTCGAATCCAGAGTATTTATATCCCTGCTACAAAGCTCTTATCCTTTCAGCCCAGAGATGTTTATCCCCTCTGGTCCAGCATCTAGAGAGGACTTTATTCACAGTTTGTCAATGAGTTACAAACTATTTGCCAGACAGAAATAAAAAGCTTCAGACAGGAAAAATGGTTTTCTTGCCTTCATAAGGAAGCATGAGCTAGTAAACAGGGTGACTCAGTCACAAACTGGGTAGATATACCCTACGTGACACTACAAGATGAACAGATAGACCTTAATTTACCTTATCAAGGCCCTGGGTGTTATTCCCAACCCTGCCAGAGCTGAATTTGGTCAAAGTTTTTCATACTATATTTCTGGGATGGCAATGAGTTCACACTTGACCGACTTCCAGGCTTTGACTGTAACATTTCAGCCAGAAATAAGTGCACCAAGACGTAAGTGGCAGGTTGTAGAACTGAGACAGGAGTTCAGCCCCAGGCTGTGTGCGCTCTCCTCCAGGCAAAAGGCTCCAGGATGCGCTAGTAAGCAGCATGGAGTCTTTCACTGGCTGTAGTTTGGCCACCTCAGTGGTGTAGCAGAACAGGTAACCAGACTCATGTCAAACAGAGGACAAGCAGCACAGCCCGCTAGAAATATGGGCTCCTGCTCACTCCCATGGCTTCTTCCTGCCATGCCCCACTCCCCGGGTTGGAATGCTTCTCACATCTGAGAGTTTTCAGAGTCCCCATCACCATTCTGTGCCCACCGACTCTGACAATCTCTCCCTTCCATGCACTCTGAGGTACCTCCCTGCCCACTCTCCCACACCCTGGCACCCCACGAGTCCCACAGCACCACCGGGGTGGCTGTCATCAGGGTGCTGCCAGCTTCACCCAGCAACACCTCCAGTGAATGCAGGGTGAGGTGGAGACAACCCCCTTACCCCCAGATGAAAATAAAAGCAGTGACCATAAGTTTCCCCGTGAGGGAGACAAAGGTGGTGGCCAAAGCCTCGAGAGACTGCCCCGGCCCCCCATCACCCCATTTTCTGCTCTCTCCAGCCTTGTGATCCACATGTAACACCCCATGTACCGCAGGCCACCCTTCCTCCTGCCCCCGGCCCACCGGGCCCTGCCCGAGGGGCACTGCAGCGCCGCCCGGGGCATGAGGAGGGGGCAGCGGGGCACCTGCTCTTGGTTTTGTGCCCGCTCAGCTCTCCCTCTCCGTTTTAGAAATTAAAACCGGGGGCTGGTCCCCCCACGGGTGGAGCGGAAGCCCCGGCTCGCCTTCTCCTCCCAACCCCCAGCACTAGGCCGCCGATCCCCGGCCTTGCCTAGCCGCCGCCGCGGACAAAAACGCCACGCCGGCCGGCCGAGGCGGAGAGGGGCCGGCGGCGCCAGCCGCGCACCCCCCGCGGCTCGGCCGGGCGCCGGCACCCCGCCATTCCCGCCACCCCGGCCCTGCTGGGAGGGGTCTCCCGCGGCAGGAGATATCCAGGCTTCCCCGCGAAAAGAAAAACAAACCAAAACATACTCTTCCTCCTTCCCCACCCCATATCCGCTTAAATAAAAATCGCACATCTCCAGGAGTCTGGCAGTCCGCTTTAAGATTGAAAAAAAAAAAAAAACAAAAAAAAAAAACAAAAAAACAACAAACCTCCCCTGCCAACCGGAAACTGTCTAAAGCGTTAAAGAATTAAAAAAAAAAAAAAAAAAATCCCACAACCTTTCTAATTGATAAACTTTACAAGCCCCTACGGAAGGCGCATCTGAAAAGCTATTCCACAAACGCTTCTCTGCTGCTTTATGGGGTTTATACCAAACAAGAGGGGGAAACTGCAGCCTAAATACAGACCTGAACACAGCTCTCAAACCTACAAACAGGCACAAACGCAATTAATACTAAGTTTTTCACATAAACCCAGGGGCTTTTCCCCTAGCTATCCACTTTCACACTACTACCACATTTTTTCCAGGGGGTGGGATTAGGACCTCTGACAATTATTTTTTTGCAAACCCCACATTTTTGGCGGAAGAGGGGGTTAGCTTCAAAATCTCGCCCATATTATCTTTTTTTTTTTTTTTTTTGCAATTTGCAATTACACAACGTTTCATCCATGCACTTACTATCTGAAACCTTTACTTTCTAATGAAGCAACATCCAGATTTTCTTGTTTCTCAAGTCCACCCCTTTCTACATGCACAAACACACACACATATACAGAATTGGTTTAAGACAAAAATAATCCCCCCAAAATAATAATAAAGGACTCACCTCTCCTTGGGTTTCCCCCCCACACTATGTATAAACTTTCCTTGATAAATGGTATTATATTACTAGAGATATTATTAATGTATTATTACTAGAAGTAATAATAATAGTAAGTGCTATTTAATTATAGAAGGCAGCATTCTGTTTCTGGATCGGCTGCCCCTGCAGCTCCCTCCATGTGCCTCCTGATCTCTTTACTTTCATTTCCAGGTCTCGCTCGCTCGCTGCACCAGCAAGAGAAAATGCCTCCCTGCATATCCTCTGGGCCCTAGAGGCTACCGCTTTCCATTACAAAAATTCACAGATCTTTCCCTTGTGGTTGGTTTTGAAATTCTTTAAGGTGAATTAGGCTTTAAAAAAAAAAAAAAAAAAGATATATATATATATATAATGAAAGCACTTAAGCAGTTGAGGGTCGGTTCTTATTTTAATGCAACATTTTCCTTCTTCCTGGTTTCTTTGGTGATATATAAAATATAACCCAAAAGAAAGCAAAGCTGTCTCTGCAGAGTGATTACATGCATGTGAAGCGCAGCAATTAACTGAATTATCAGATACCCCCCACCCCCCACCCCCCCCCTGCCATGGGATTATCACATACGTGAAGGAGTGACCCTTTTGCCAACCCATATATGTTTGCTGGAAGGGGGCCAGAGCCATTGCTTATGGCAGAGCAATTATCTATACCAGCCAGACCTTACTTAATCTACCCTGCGCTACTGAAGGGATTCCCTGTAAATAAAGTCTTCTGAAAACATAAATATTTGGGTGTAAAGGAACACTTAGTGTCTGTATATACATAACATATTATTGTTATATTACTATATACAATTGGGTATTCTAGAATATATGTGCATTATTTATAATTTATATGCACATGCATATATATTTATATATCTATACATGAGTCTAGGCTCTTTTTTTGGAACCAGATTTCTGGCTTGTTTTCATCCCAAATCCCTCAATATTTCCAGAAAGTTGACTGAATCTCCACAGCTGCCCATGCCAGCAGAGCCCCAGGAACAGAGCTGCTGGTGGGAAGCAGGGCCCAGCAGCACACGTTAATTCTGTTGGGGGAAATGGTTGTGAAGACAGAGCTACACAGATACACAGACCACCTTAGACGGGGGGTTCATTCATCCCTGCCCAGCTGCACCACCATTAACTTCAAATAACCCTCTGAATGAGTTTTATGCTCGGCTCCCAATCCAGCCTCCCTGGTAGGATAGATTTTCCTCTCCTGAAAGGATTTTGTCTACCGTGAGATCATAATTTCCAGACTGACACTGGTTTAAATTGTCACCTCTTTTCCCATGTAATCAGTGACATGTTTACTTCTCAGTGTCTCACTTCTCTATTTACAGTGACCCAAAAAAGCGTCACTTTCTGCTTTGCAGCTAAGCAACTCTGACAAGATTCAGAGGCAGGTAGAAGGTATCATCTGAAGAGTACTAAACGTGTTTAATATTTAAAACATGTTGATCAGAAAAGGAAAGACTTTATTATATTGAGTAGGATTGGCTTCTGGCAGCTCTGTCAACACAATAAACTGATAATTTATGAAATATAGACTGTGAATTGTATAATGTACAATATGACACTGGAGAACACTGTCTTACACTCTTCACAATATTTTATCACAATGCACTTTTTTTAGATATTCTTTATGATCCAAAGATTGCTGTTATTCATAGATAAGACAAAGTTTATTTTTATTATCTCTTCAGCAGATTTGTTACCTCTTATTTTTAGGCAATGACACCATGACAATGAGTAGAGTCTAACCAAGCTGGGCCGCTGCTGTAGAAGCTGCTGTGCAAAATGTACATTAAATGACAATCCCTGTCGAGGGGTGGCTTTGGGCAGAAGAAGGGTGGAGCAGGCCTGGTGGGGGAAAGTAAACACAGGGAGACCTGACATGCCAGATCATACTGGGAGGGCAGAGTCACGGAGACATTAAGTATCAAATGAGTCACTGAGCCCAGGATGCCTCCAACCCTGCAGCACCTCTGAAAGGCAAGACATCACAGCTGGATGAAAAGGTCTTAGGAAGAGCTGAGGAGAAAGATGAACAAACCCAAAATCTACACACAATAAAGAGTTAAACTGGAATAAGCACTATTTTTTAATTCAAGAGCATTCATTTTTAAGACTGCATTTCAGAATTTAAGGGCATGTTATACTCCCCTCCAGGCCAATTTCCTTTGCCTGTAAGACTGAGAGGTGTCCAGCAAGGGTATGATCCAGCATACTCTCCACTCATAAAATAACGTCTTTCCTTAGTGGTTAACATGAATTTTTCACAATTTGCAAACACAGTTATAGAGATCTCATGTGTAGGTAGTCAGCAGAATCAAAACGCTGCCGATCCCTGCTACGAACTAGTTGCAGAGTCGTAAAAATTACTTTGATTTGTAAAGCTGTTCTTTTAGGGAGAATAAATCTGTGGATCTATGCTACAGTGGCACGCTACACCTTCAATCCAACATAGATCCATCCACAGTTAAAGACTATTCTCACCCCTCTGGCGCTGGTAATTAGCCAATAGTTGGGAGGACAACAGAGAAGGGAATCAGATGCATGGGATATGATCGTGTTTATTGCTAAAGAGTGTGAGGAACTAATAACAAGTGCCAAATGCCTTCCTTATATTTTCCAAGTCTGAGCTCCTTCTCAAGATCACACTAATTTATTCCCTCATCTGCTCTTTTTTTTTTTTTTTTTTCTGGCAGCTTTATGCTTCTCACATACAACCACAATCTAATCAGTGCCCCAGCTTAATTTTCTTCAGTTGCAAGAGAATCTCCTCTTATGAGTTAAATTTTGCTCAAGTTTTCCATCTGGTTGCTGTACCAGTTTATGGCTTTTATTCTTTAAACTGTCATGCTCCATAAAAAAACTTAATTGCTTTTTGTATTCCCCCAGAAGGAAGAAGGTCTACCATGCCCTTCAACCTCAATGCAGTCTCCCAGGTCACCCAGCGTTACCAGTTACTGACATTTTTTCCCTTGGGCCCATACGAGCATTTGATATTGTTTCTTAAAACCACATTTGAGACAATTGTGAGAGAATGAAAAATGCCTCTTACAACGTTTTGGGACCAAATGGCAGAATAAAGCCAGCCTATTGCTCTCCTCAGTACTGAGCTCATCAGGTATCTGCAGCTGCCACCTGAAATGGTACCTACGTCAGTGCCTGTAGGTTGCAATTTAGGAGAAGGGATTGGGTTAGGAAGACATGTGCCAACACACTGCAGTACCAAGCAGGTTTATGCAGAGCTCACCCTGTCCCATCAGGTGTACTTTTATTTCTATACTCGAGAAGAAAACGTCAATCACAATGTACACATGAAGCTGTAGAGCAATCCGATGTTTTTTGCATCCTTAAGCAGGAATGGCTGCACACTCTTGGATGAAACACTTTCCTTAGCCGACAGATTTGACAGTAACACATCGGCACAAAGATGAGATCTGCAGAGGCATTATCTAAACGTGGGTTCGCAGGAAACGGCACTCGTGTCTCATCTGTGGTATCCGGGAGGCCTGCACAGCAGCTCAGGGCTCCTCAGGCAACATCTCCCCTGAAGGCCTGTAGTGAACGGGGATCCGCCGCACGCCGCAGATCACACACACGGAGGCGCGGCTGCCGCGCCTCGCAGCCCGCGCTCTGGAGAGGTAGGAGCGGAAGTGACCGCTGCCAGGGACCAGGGCCAGCGTCACAGGGCCCCACCCGCGCCGCCGGACACGGGTGGGGAAGGGCCCTGCCCAGGCCCAGGCCCAGACCGCCTCCCCACGGGGTGGCTCCGCGCGAAGCATGCCGGCTAACACCGCCCCCCCCCCCCCCACTCCCGGGACTACACGTCCCGGCGTGCCCCGCGGCCGGCGCCACCGCGCGTGGGTGGGGCTACGGGAGCCGCGCGGTGGCGCCGGCCGGCTGCGGCACGCCGTGCCGTCAAGCACCCGGCGCGGGGGCGGGGAGCAGCCGCCCCCTGTTGACGTCACGACGCGCAGCCAATCCCGGAGGGAAGAGCAAAACTGCCGGCTTTCAAATCCTCCTCCTCCCCCGCCTTTTCCCCCCCTCCCCCCATCGTCCCCCCGGCGGCGGCGGCGGCGGCGGCGTGAGGGCTCGGGCCGGCGCCACTCGATCGCCTTCCCGCGGCGGCGCCGGGTCCCTCACGGCTCGGAGGCGAGGTGAGGTGAGGTGAGGTGAGGGAAGGGAACGGAAGGGAAGGGAAGGCGGCAGCCGCCGCCGCCGTTGGTGACCGGGGGAGGAAGGGGTGTGCGCGAGGTGAGGCGATCCAGCAGACTAACATCCCCCCCCGCGCCCAGCTACCGTCGCGGCGCCTCGCGCGCCTTTCCCACGCGGGGGCGAGGGTGACACACGCCCCACACGCCCCCCTCTCCCGTGGATGCGGGTCACGCGTGCCCTGCCACGGGAGTCGTGTGCTCCATCCATCCCCTTCCCTCCGCGCTCCCCAGGCGCCACGCGGCACGGCGCCGGCCGCCCGCGCGTGGGTCGGGAAGCGGGGGGAGAGGAAGGGGTGGGTAACGGCGCCGTTGCCCGGGGTGTGGGAGGGAATGCGTGTGTCGTGGGGTGTCACGGCGGCCGCCGCGGATTGCTGGTGTCGGCGTGGCCGGCGCTCGGCAGCTCCCTCGGGGGCCGAGAGGAGCCGGTGCTGGGGCCCGGCCGCGCCGGGGGGCTGCCCCGAGGGTGACCCCGAGGGTGACCCGGCGTTCCCCGGTGCTGGGCCCGCCCTTGGCGGGAGAGCAGAGCCGGCCCCTCCTTAGGAGGGCACAGGAGGTGGCCGGTGTGGTGTCTGTCGGCGTGGACAAAGTGTTGTAAGTAAAGCGTTCGGCTGAACTAAGTTTTCTGACCGTGGTGAAGCGTACAGCTTTGTACAGTCTTTAGGTGACAAGGAAGCCTCTCTTCGGGCGTTTCCAGATCTTGGTTTTAGTTGCCAAACATATTAACTCGTCAATTTCTTTTTTTTTTTTTTAAAGCTTGCCCTGCAGAAGAACTGGCGGTGTAAAGACCTCTGGTAGGTTGACAGTTGGGTGTGGTTGAAGTTAGCAGTAAAACACGCTTCAGGATGTGATGATGAAGTTGCATGTTGAAATTAGGAAGTAGCCTGTGTGAAAGGTGAAGAAAGTAAAAGGGGATTTAAGGGAAAGAGAAGCAAAGGGAATACACCTGTAGAGTGTAGAAGAGCATCGCAGTAGATCAGGACTTTTTTTTAAACAGTAGGGTGATAAGGTATTTAAAAGTAAAGTTAGTAATTGAACTAGGTGAACAGACTGACTTCTTTGGATCCTAACTTTTGTTCCTGTCTAGTAAAGCCTT